AACGTATTGAATAAAATATCAGTAAAAGTTAATGCTACTTTAACTACAACATATGCAAATATTTACATTTGTCCAGAATTCAATTTCAGGATTTCTACATATAGTAAACATTCTACTCCTACCTTTAGAAATTCCTAACTACTCTGCATACAAAGGAACCTTTTCGAAAATACCAAAAAAACATTGCAAATAAAAATATTTTATACTTCTTGCATAAAATGAAATATTTTACTCTGCTTTACCAAGTAAAATGCTTTCCCCGATTTTTAGATTTTATTTGTGCAGAATAGAAATACAAACAATTTACTTTGGGGAGAACAAAGTGTGCAAATGGTTATTTTGCATGTGATTTTACTTGAGAATGGAAGAAAAATATATATACGGATTTTTAGTTTGATTCTTGATAGCAACTATCACACATAAATCAAATATGCTTTATTTGTAAACAAACGTTTTACCTTTCAATTACTTGAAATATCTGAAAATTTTCTAAAGTGTTCGAAGACAAGTTGTGAAACACTTTACTTGGCTTTGCTTTGCTTTTACTTAAGCAAATAGTTTTTCCCAAAAAAATAAATGTCGTCTCATGTAATTACAATAACAATTTTATGAAAATTTGTTGTGAAGGATATTGACATACAGAAAGGTTTATTTGCTTCCTAAAATTGCAAAATAACAGTTTTTTTTTGCTAGTCATACGTTTTTGAGTCTCTGCTCTGCCGTGCTTAATACAAAATGACAGTGGCGCACTGAAGATTAGAATAGAAAATATATTCTATTTTGAAATATGAAAATTCTCTACATATATGAATTTTATTTAAAGTTCATAACAGATTTATTTGTATTATTATATTGAGGCTAGTTGAGTCAGTGTAGTTGAACACTTTTACTCTCTATTAACTGCGAGGTTTCTTCATAATCCCTCTCTACGCCTTGACTAGATTATTGTTTATCACTTCATCAGACTAAGCAATAGTTGACCTCAGATCTGCATACCTTCCCGAGGAGCCTGTAACCGTTCTGAGATTCAATAATGCGGTGTTGGTAAGCCTGCCAGTTTACGTAAATAATTTCAGCGCTCTGTCCTTTATTTATTTTTTGATGGTATCAATCTTAAGGTCCCTGAGTATGTCATTCGCTCTAATGTACCATCTTTTTTTTTTCTTCATTCCATTACGTTCCCAACTGTCACGATTACTTGCCAGGGCTAATGTATTGCTTTTTGCAATTTCTAGCTGGCGAATAGTAGTGTTTGAGGCCTTGCTGAACACTAGATTTATTATTATTTCATTTTAAATTTGTTGCATCACAAAGAAATGTATAACAGGTGTAATTGTATACAGTATAAAGCTTTTAGCTATGGCATCGTAGCCGTCTGCCGGAGGTTTGGATTAATATTCCTACTATTTATTACAAATCTTAAATTAACATTATTACACTTTTTATTATATAAATTTTAAATTAAATCACTAGAGAGATTTCGCAAAGTAGTGAACTACAGCAACAAAAATTATTTTTATATTATTTTAATTAATTGAATTTTTGGCTGACGCATATAACAGTTTCCAGTATTGCCAAATACCTATCATCAATGGACTTGGAATTATTTCTTATATTTAATTATTTGCAAATAATAATTAAATCGCTATAAAAGAATAATAAATTTCATATAAACTGATTTTAAAAATTTTCATTTGATATGTTTTGCTTATAGTTTAACGTATTTATAATAGAAACCGTTAACAATCTCCCTTCAGTAATGGCCTCATCTGCTCTGATTTGTGTAGTTTCATAAACGTCAAGCGACGAGTCACCAAAGTACAGTATTCTGTGTTCTTTGAAAATTGGGCACTCACCTATTAAATGTAATACATCGCCTTTCAACTTAAGGTTACACGTAGTGCACAGAGTGTCTTGACATTCGTACGTAACGTAGCACAGACGTAAGAGCCCGCCACGGGTTTTGAAGATTGTTCTAATTGGTTTTGAAACTATTTTCAGAAACTTCATTTAGTCACATTTTCTTTGAAACATCATTTATTTTTTTTTCAGTCATATTTAAAAGTTGACCATACTTCATTATCTAAATTTCTAGTTAATACAAGTACTAAAACGGAATAATAAAAACATATCAGAGTTGTAAATTTATTATTATTTTCAATAGATTATATAGAGGCTCTTTGTTCTTCACGGGAACTAATAAATATAGTTTAAGTTACTTATCTAAAATAGTAAGATACAAGGTACTTACCCCTACAAATACGCTATTGCGAAAGAATATTATAAAATAAAATGGGAATGGCTTGAAAATTTTTAAAACACATTTTATAATGGATAACTGTATATGCTGCCATATTTATTTGTGAAACCATACTTTACGATAAATATTCCATCAGAATGAAAAGACAATGAAAAAAAGTTGCTCGAAATGGACGGTCAAATTGTTTATCACTAATTAAACTTATATTAGCTCCATTTGCAGAGGCGTTAAAAATCAAAATCCTCTTCAGATAAACTCAAGCTGGGTTCTGCATATGATATATATGAGTAGACGTTATAGGAAGGAAATGAATATTGGTTGAGTGCCACTGCTTATCTTTTATTAATTTTTATAGTAGTTAAGTAATAAGGCTTTTTTATTTTAGTTAACAAAAAACGTTTCTTACTTCAATAAAAGAAAAGTATTTAATTTAATTAAATAAAAATAGAAAAATAATTAGGACCTGACATCCGACGTCAGCCGTTAGTTTTTGTATATATACTTTTTTTATAATTTAAATGTAAACAATGTTTACAATTTAAAAAACACTTTCAATTTATTAGTCGTGATACATTTGTTTAATAAAATCTTACGTTTCCATAATACTATTTTGACTTTTTGACATTTTCTCCTATCTAACATTTTTGAGACATGTCACAATGACTCGAATTAAACAGAAGGTGAATTCCGTAGTACTCAGCTACATCCCTAGGGATTCATCATTTTCTAGCGCCGCAATGAAGATAACAACATTTTCCATTTAATTTCGTGCTGTCAGTATAAAAGTAGATACCCTTTTTAATTTTAAAAATAAATTGTCTACAAAATGAAACTGTTAAATATTTTAGTGTTTTAATTTAATGTAAAAAATATTATTTTTATGGTCTATGCTACAGTATAATTTTAAGCAAATAAAAGTAAAAAAGTTCAACTAAAATTACAAATTAATTTTTGTTTTTTATTTTTATTTTTATTTTTATTTTATTTTATTAATCAATAATAAATTTTTTCAATTTCCGTCATCTTGTATATTCACTTAGTAAAGTGGCTTTCAAACAAAGATTACTACATAAATTTGTGCTAAAGTGAGCATTAATGTCGCAAAACATTCAAGATGAGATACGGTTTTAGATTAGAATAAAAACAAACAAATTAGGTTTTAAATAAAATCCAACATTAAGTTTAAATAAATAGGAAGATATGTTCTTTAACTATAAAAAGAATATTATAAAGAGCGTTGTTTATTCTTAAGTTTAAAATATTAACAGTAAACAGAATTCTTTTTATATAGCTATATTTTTTAAAATATATCCATATGTCAGATTACATATTTTGGGAATTATAGACATCTTTAGCAATAGTATAGGGGGTATTGTACCAAGGAGGAGGTAGTGATATATTTAAAGATAATTTTTTGATAAATTGTTTACGGTGTGTTGTCTGTAGATTACAGAATTCTCTCTCGGCGCACCACTAGTCCTTTAGGCAAGTCCTTCATTGAGTAACTGTCAAAATTACATGACATTTGAACTAATCAAAGTGAAGTTATAACTCACTCCAATAACTCCAATTCTTGTTTACTTTCAAATGTACCGAATTCATTCTGTAGACTTTATGTCAAGGAGTGATCTATTCCTTAATTCCCCCTAGTTACGCCATTAGCGCTTCAGATAAATCCTTCATTGATATACTGTCAAAATTTCTAGACATTTGAACTAAACAAAGTGGGGTTTTTTGCAATAACTCTGCTTTTTGTTTACTTTCAAATGTTCCGAATATCTTCTATAGACTTTATTGTCAAGGAGTGATCCATTCCTTAATCGCACCTAGTTACACCACTAACGGTTCAGATAAATCCTTAGTAGATATACTGTCAAAATTTCATGACACTTCAAGGAATAGAAGTAAAGTTATTACTAATAACTACTCTTTTTGTTTGCTTTCGAATGTACCTCATATGTAAATCACTGATAAGCTCATTGCAATCTCGGATTCGTGTAAAATAAATCTCGGTAGATTGCCAATCATCTACCTCATCTACATGGAATAAAAATGTACCCATGTAACATTTGCTCTAAGGCCAGGAAACTGTCCCATTATTACAATAAATGAGCAAAAAGTACCTTCGAGCGACTGTGTTAAATATATAGGAATACATCTAGATAGACGTTTAACTTGGAACAAACACATAGAGGCTTAAAAGACTCAAATAAATATAAAAATAAGTTCATTGCATTGGCTTATGGGCACGTCATCTAAGCCACCACTTGAATAAAAAATTCTGCTAAGAATAATAACAGGTGCACCGTGGTTTATGAAAAATGCTAACCTTCATAGAGATTTGAGCGTACTAACAGTAAAAGAAGAAGCTGCTCGATGTAGCCGTCAGCACCAGTTAAAGTTAGAAGATCATCCTAACCAATCAGCTTACATGCTGCTACTGAACAAAGGCCACAGACGTCTAAAAAAGAAGGACACCATTAACCATTAGCATTTTTAAGCAGATTATTAAACCTGGACTACTTTATGGCAGTATTGCGTTTTGCCAAGCGCCAAACTCAACTTTAAAAATTCTTCAAAGAGGGCAAAATATTGCCTTAAGAAAACTGGTTAACGCCCCATGGTACGTAAGAGGAGCGGATATCCACAGAGATCTGAGAGTCGATTCAGTCGAAAATACATTAAAGATCGTGCTCTGAAACTGTTCAATATAATTGACAGTCACAATAATCCAACTCTCAGCATCCTAAAAATACAGCGAAATTTGACAAACACAGACATCAGATCCATCATATTATAAAGCCCCGTATTCAGTTATTCTTAGTGTGACTTAAAACTGTCCACAGATAAAATAGAGTAAAGGTGCTGATTCACCAACTCAGACATCTGAATATCAATAATATTAACATCTGTTAACTTTCTAAATTTTTATTTGATTTAAAATATTATAAATTTTATTTAATTGAATTGAATGTGATTTTTTTTTGAATTGATTTTAATTTTAAATTAATTTTAGTTTTTAATTTTAATTTTCATTTTCAATCTTATCTTATTATAAATAATTCAATGTCTCAATGGTTATTTCCAAAGCAATGGCTTAGGGAGTAAAATAAATTTAGTTTTAAGATTTGATCCATTTATTGTTAGTTTCGTTTTTAGAAAGATTCAATAAATACTTTATAAATTAAAAAAAAAACTAAAAAAAAAGGATTGCCAATCTACAAAATTAAAATTTTTGTTTATCGATTGTTTTAATTTTTAACTTCTAAAAACTTTTAATAAAAACTTTGCAATTAAAATGAATAAATAAATAGGGACATACACTACCATATATACGTGTAGTATAGTCGTAAAATCATTCTACATTCCATCAATATTTAAAATGCCTGAAATACTCAGAAAGGGTTTTCGATTAAGTTAATTGAAATTGATGTTATTGTTTTGTTATTCGCATCCAATATTTAAGAAATACGTAAAAGTTTTAATTTTGTTTACTGCACCCATAAACCGCAAATTTCATTAGAAATTGCAAGTTTTATAAATGAAAACAAAAAACAATGGCACTCAAATAAATTTAATGATTTTATTTATGTGAAGTTTTTTGGTTTTTTGTTTTTTTATAAACAAAAGCAAAAAAAAAACACAAAAAGAAATAAAAACCAAAGTTTTTGCAGGAATTTATATCCTTTTAACAATTGCTAAATAACTTTTTACTTAATCTTTTCATTTAATTTCATTACAGAAGAGTCGTTCACTCTCCAGTTCCTCTGGCTATTCAATGCTCGAAAGTCGACGCCATTTGATGGATTTGGATGAAGGTGAACTATTCATGGAATTGATACGTGATGTGGCCAATGAATTGGACATTGATGTTCTGTGTCATAAAATACTGGTGAATGTGGGTTTGCTCACCCATGCGGATCGTGGCTCCTTATTTCTCGCCAAAGGACCGCCCAATAATAGATATCTGGTAGCAAAGCTATTCGATGTAACACAGAAAACAGGTAACATACATATAGTAGCAACTAAATTAAGATATTTGCATGCAGATACGATAAAATGCCAATTTAAAACGAATGTTGAGTTTGTCGAGCTCGCTCTGACCTTTCAGCTGATTTTTGGTTTTGGTTTTGACTACCTTTTTGCTTACTGCAGAAATCTATCTCGGATCTGATAATAAAAGTTATTGTGTGGTAATTGAATTTTCTTCCTCCATGTTGACTTTATGACTTTTGTAGTTTTATAGTTCGCTATTGGCGTGCTTTTGTGTGCTTAATTAACTTTTATTTGCATATGAACAAATTTTCGAGTTTGTTTTTGCTGCTTTTTATAATTTCTAATTTCTGAGAAGTGATTCATCAAAGCCAACGCAACATTTCCATTTGAAGCGCTTTTTAGTGAAAAGCTTAAGTATGTGTAGGCGTAAGTGCGTATTTCAAGAACACTTAAGCATACTTCACCTGCTGCAGGTACCTGAAAAGGCACATTCGCAAAACGTACTTTCGCCTCATAAAACAAACACGCCTATCTTAGCTCGAAATGAAGTGAACATTTTATTCTGCTACACTTTTTCCAAAGTGCTACCTTTTACCTTTTTCAGATACGTTTGTATTTAAGTTTTATTATTTTTTTTTTGGATGACTTTGCGTTCTCCCCAAAGATATTCAAATGAATTATTGTGGGAATCCTTTGTAACCATTTTTCCTTTTAAAATTTATTTTTCATGTATTTTTGTTTTAATTTTGATCTCAAACTAATGGAAAATCTTTATTTTTGTTTGTTTATGCATTTGTGTGTATGTAGCGACGTCGTTTACATGTTGGCATATAAGTCACAGGCGGGATTTATAACTGCGATTTAAGTATGTCCTTATAAATATGTCTGTGGGTTTCTTTTATTGAAAGTGTGCACAAATCCTAAACCGGCTTAAGTAGACTTGACTTAGAAGCGTATTTATTCATGTGCTTAAAATCGTGAAAAATATAACAATTCCAAAATAAAAAAAAAAATTTTAAAGATAAATAAAAATAAATAAATACTTATAAAAAGTCAAATATGTCACAGAAATAAGTAATAAAAATGTAAAAAGTTTAAATTGTGCAAATCATAAATATTTTTCTGAATTGCAGTATTGTTCAGTTGGTCTTGGATTTTTATTTTTATATATACATAATGCGAGAGGCATAAAATATGATAAAAAAACTAATAAAAAATATTACATTGTCGAGACATTAATTTCTTACAAAGTTTAATGCTCTATTGAATATATTTTAAACAAAAAAAAAAACTAACACATTATTAAAAGAAGAAAGAAACTTATGTGATAAAAACTATTAATAATTTTCATGTTAATTTATAAATTCTTAAATTAAATAAATAAATTATTATTATTGTTAGAAGAAATGGCACTGAGACCGTTGGGTCTATTGTGCTCCCTTCTGGATTTAGAGTAGGTAAAAGTAGTATACAACCTACTTTACAGAGTTCTATTGCCTCTTCCGTAAAAATATACATTCCCAGGAGCCCATTCCGTATGTGCATTAGCGTAGGGCATTCTAATAGCACCTGTGTGGCTGACTTCTCATTCTCTTCACAGAATCTACAGTTTGCATCCGTAAGTATACCCAGTCTTGTAAGGTATTCCACCACTTTAGTTAACAGTGTCCTGTTAGGATTCCTGTGATGATTCTAAGTTTTTCTTTTGATAGGTTCTTACAATCCTGGTATCTCTTAATGTTATAGGTACTAATATGTGATTTGGATTGTGGTGATCCTGATATACTATCCCAGTAATCCTTTTTATTTTGGTTCTTCTTTTAATTATACAATCATACTTCCATAACTCGAACTTCTATAACTCAAGTTTTCTATAATTTGAACTGAATAGAGTGTAACAGGGTTTAGAGAGCAAATTACATACAACAATAAAAAAATTCTTTAACTCGAACACTATCTTTGGAAAATGGTGCCTTGATTTATTTTGGTTCTACTTTTAATTATACAATCATACTTCCATAACTCGAACTTCTATAACTCAAATTTTCTATAATTTGAACTAAATAGAGTGCAACAGGGTTTAGAGAGCAAATTACATACAATAACAAAAAACTTCTTTAACTTGAACTCAAACACTATCTTTGGAAAATGTTGCCTTCACTATATTATATTTATAATTATAAAATTTTATAATAAATTTTCAAATTGTGACTTTTACAGATATATGAATTATTTAGGAATACAGCTGAGTTCAGCATTGATGTGACGAAAAATTTATAGAAATTTATAGACATAAATTTGCACGATTGGTACCTAATAATCCTTTTTTAGATGATACCATCTTGCAATCGGAATCGATGGAGGTTGAAATTGGACTCTGATTGTAGTAACAATAATGACACTATATCATTTTTTTTGTTACTGCTATGATTTACACAAAATTGTTAAAATTGTAATGTAATTACCATACGGAGTCATTATTAAGATACTAAGTAGTTCCTTGGTTTCAACTATTATTAGTGTAAATTTTTGTATCACTGTCTTATAAAGTTATTATTATTATTATTATTAAATAATAGGCTATGAATGAACTCCGCCCTAAAAGATCTATTGTGCGCTTAAAGACCAAACCAAAACAATGCTAGAATATTTATAAATTCGTAATTGCTGATGGCTTGTTGTTATTTACTCTGACAGCCAGGCTGCTCTTAAAGCTCTATCTTCTTGGACTTTCAAGTCGAAACAGGTTGTTGTGTGTTATGAGCTCCAACAGTTACTTACAGCACTTGCAGAATAAGGTAAGCCTTTACTGTAAGTTTTGGGAATGCAAATTATAACTCGAAGATGACGAAACCACTATGCATATTCTTTGTGACGCACACAAATAACTTATTCCATATGGAATTTCTGTCACCAGAACAGATTAAGAGCTGTTCTCTAGATTTAGTTCCGGACTTTCTTCACATAGCTCTAAAGGACTTTGTGTAATCAATAGTGAAATTGGTACAATAAGACTCTTCTGGCCGTAGTACCGGCTGCCGGGCGATTTCACGTCAAAGCTTTCATAATAAATAATAATAAATTTCTCTATTCTACTAGTGTGCTTCTTTGTGATATCAAAATTAGGTTCCTTCTTAGGGCTTAAAAGTACTGTCTTCCATAAAACGAACTATCATCAGCAGTATTTATTTATATAGAACCAAAATAGTGTAAAAGTAACTCTGTAATAAAGAATTGAAAGTCTCTTCAAATCTCTTTAAGAAATCTATTCCTACTTTACATTTAGTTGCTATCATTGTATATTTAATTATGTGAAACCATTACATATTTACGAAATATTTAATCTGTGATAGCAGAATTTTCGAAAAATGCATAAAATTTTAACGCATTTTGTGTTATTTGAATTTTGTTGCAACTTGCTCTTTTGTTAGAAAGTTGAGAAAAAAAATCAAAAAAGTATATTAAATCCATGAAAAATAAACAAAAAAAAAAATGTTATATATGAACATGAATTTTCTAACAATAGAAAAATTATTATTAGATCACATTACGTCCATGTACTGGATGCATGCGTCCTCATGCAGTAACCATTAAACAAACATAAATTCATAAACTGATATACAAAAATATAGATAATATACTGAGAAAATAAATGTAAAATAATATATACAATTTATGTATTTTTATGAGCTTCGAAAAAACATAAATTCAAGAGATGAGAACGCATTTACAGTAGAATTTATGTGAAATGCATTTGTCTATTTCAGTTCGTAATGCTTTGCGGGCGTGTATGAGATATACTCGTACATTGTACAGTCACAGTTCTTCTCTATCCAAACTCTTAGATTTAGTTCTTGAAAAGCATATTCTGTGTATGTGCACGAAGGTCATAGATATTTTATGATATATTATGTATGTGAAAAATGAATTTTCTTAAAAGACATTTGTTTGACTGCAGTTACACTTAAAATTTTTTAGTTTTTGACATCGTTTTGAATTTGCTATTGAATTTGCTCCAACAAAAGTGTTTTCATTAAAACTTTTTGAAAAGTATTAAATTTTTAATTTATTATTAAAGGAAGGACATAAGTTCTTAATATTGCGTTCATATATATATTGCTTTTCATTTTAAGGTGTATAATTTTGTATAATAAATGAAAAGCAAATTGATTTTTTTTAATCAGCAAATATGCTTATAGACTCCTTGAATTGATACTCAACACACGTAGATCTAATTGGTCTTATACGAGTAGTACATGCTCCTAGTAGAATCACTAAATCAATCAATTTTTCTTAAACCATTATCTTGGTATAAAAAACTTTGGCAGCACGTGGGATGTCCCTCAGCTGATAGCCCAATATTTTCATTATTTTTTTATTATACGATGAACATACAAAAAGGCGGTATTTGATGGTCTTCCCTTCCTCCTCATCACCGCAGCCGCTGCTGCAATTACTAAATGTGACACCCATTCTTGAGGTATGTCGACCTATTAGACAGTGTGGAGTGATGACACGTTTAAGTATTGCGATTTCGTTTCTTCGCTTTAATAGAAGTTTGTCTGATTTTTTTTTATATGTCCCGTTTTCACCAAATGAGCTTTGTGTGTACAAATGTTATTCACCGATTCCACCATTCATTTATTTTCTATAGAAAAATTTTTCTGATTATAGATTTGTAGATAGGTAAGGGAATAGCAAATTGTTTTTTTTTTTGCGGAAGAATTTGTGTGATAGTCAAATCGTAGATGATAAACTCATCTGCGATACATTTCGCCCTATATTGCAGTGAACCGGTACCCAGGTAATATGTATATTGAAGTCATTGAATTTTTCACCTCGATAGCTATTTTGTTTGTAACAGTTCAACAGTGTTTTTTAGACACTTCAAAAATTATGAAGTCGAAAGTATGAGATTATTCCTAGTATTTGTACAACGCACCTGGTTGTTTTATTTTGAATTGTCTGTATAGAAATTGATTGTAACGATATTTTCTAGGGTTTTTTTCGAAACACATCCTAGAACACGTCTAGTTGGTGTAGAAGTTGGAAATAACTATATTGCTTGTTCTATTGAAAATAATAATTAGTACTGAATGTTTAACTTTCTTACCCTTACGTAGTGTGAGATGCATTTGATTAAGGGATCCACTGCTTTATCTCTCTTCGGTAAATTCATGAAATTAGAAATAAAAATTCATCAGAGAATTAATAATTTTACTATATGTATTCCAGTACATATCAGCAATACTAGCTATTTACGTTTTACTATTGATTGAAGTATGTATAGCTGCTTCAGTTGTGTTACCTCAAGAGTTTAAAAACATTCTTTAATCGCCCACGACCAGCCTTCATTGCTTGCAAGTAGTTCGACTGACTAATAATCTGAAACTTGTAATCTCCAACGTCTAGATATGGTGTATTATGTGTACATTTGAGTTTTGTAAAGTATTATTTAGTTTTTGTTTATATATATGTAGATTAATTCGTTAAACATGTTTACATATCTGATTAGAAATTTCTAAAAGGCTATTGATGCCAACATAGAGTCATATCTCATTAGATATATTTCTAGTATAACTTTTTCTGGTGCGATTCCTGTCACTAGTCGATTGAAAATTTGACTTCATAGTGTTTTTCTGTTTGATGCAAGATTCAAGATTAAAAAGTTCTGACTTTATTTTTGAGAATTAATGCCAATGTAATATTTTTCAAACTCGTACAAGGGGCCATGAAAAGCTTCTTTGGAACATCAAACTTCGTAAGTGTGGATAGTACTTTTTTATACTAGTTTTATATAAAATAAAAATTAATCCCAAGAATTTTCAAGTATAAATTGAAAAACAGTTCGTCATTGTGAATTATACGATTGGCAACATCCGCCAGTTTGTTTAAAACGGTATTGAAAAAGGGTCTATAAGTAATTTCTTCATAGTTAAGTTTTTCAAACAAATATTAAAAAAGCAAATTTAAATAATAATAATACTTAAGCCTTAGTTATAATATTTTATATACAAATAGGTATAACGTTCGTTGATGCTTATTAGTTTTAACGTTTTAAAAATTTTTTTAATTTTAAATGAATTATTGATTTATTTTTAATAATTTTTCCATTATTGCGCATGGATTTAAAATATTTCAGAACTTTGGAAAGACTACTGCCTCTCGCGCATTATGTTAACCCAACTACCATAGGTAAAAATCATCTTGCGAAATGGATTTGTTACGTCTACCATCGCACGCTACTATTTTAACTTTGTCCGCTGTAATGGAGCGCTCCGCCTCACGAAACTCGACATCCTTCAGAAATAGCGACCAAACATTATCGCAAAAGCGATAATTATTAAGTTTATTCGCTTTAAAGACACATTTTGCATTTCCAGATTGGCCTAGCATCTTTACAACACTTTTGTCGAATTGACCCAAAACTTTTGAGGCAAGTGCTGGTGATATTTTGCCTTGCTACAAATGGAAATATTACTTTACAATAAACTCCACATATTATATATACAATCTGTTTACCTGAATTTGCTCATCTAACGTGTCTTGTAATGCGTAACCTAAAGTGGTGTTACGATACAATTGGTAGGACATTTTGGGAACTTTTCACTTTGAAATATGGCGCCCGACTATTTAAATTTACTGTAACAGCTTAAGAAACATAACCAATATGTCAAAAAATATCGATAGATAGGATATATGTTTAATATATTCGTTGTTCCTATGTTAAAATTGGTATAAAATTTATATTATACCAATATATTGTGAATATTATTTCATGGCATATGTTGCTGATAGTACAGTAACAAAAATATATGTATTAAAAACTTAATTTTTTTGTAAGCATATTAAACTATATGCATATAGTTTCCGATAAAAACCAACAAATCGTTAGCGTATATATGCAGATACTCTGCATATTATAAATAATTGGAAGAAATAGACATATTTCTGAATTTATATAAGTAGCACCAAATAATAAAATATTATATTGTTAATAAATGATTATTTTATTATGTTGAAGCTGTTTTGAGCTAGTGCACTTAAGCACTTATATTCTTTTTTAACTCGAGGTTTCTTCAAAACCCCTCTCTACACCTTGACTAGATTATTGTTTATCAGTTCATCAAACTAAGCAATAATTGACCTCAGATCTGCATACCTCTCCGAGGGGCCTGTAACCATTTTGAGATTTGATAACGCGGTGTTGGTAAGTCTGTCAGTTTTCGCAAATAATTTTTATTTATGAAACCTTTCATTTATTAGTTGTACATATTACATAGTCAGTCTATTATTTTATATCCATGTTCGGTAGGCTTTAGAATTCTTAATGCAATGGGCCAGGACTTTAATTAAGCAAAATATGACAAAACTTGATATTAACGGTTATAATTTATTGAGATTCATATGTTAGTGTAATTCTGCTACTCTACACAAAAAATTTTAAATTCACATATTTAATACTAATGATATGCATGTTATGCTTACCTGAATTAGCTCTAATAGAGTTTCTTCCAAGGTGAAACGCAATAATTCATAGTTGGATTCTAGATCCATTCTAAATTTTAATTCCGTTTTGTAAATTGTATATAATAATTTGCCTAATATAATTATATATGTTACGTACAACTTGCAGCTTTCGTTTAAGAAGGTCCCGGAACGGATACGAAGACAAGCGACAAAATGTCAAAATGTATTGAAACGTAGATTATGTTCAATAGTTGATTTGATTTGTCAATAAACTTTACATATATTATTGTTTTTTGGTGTATTCAATATAAAGAGAGCAATGTTGAAAAAAACAACTTGTACTATAAATATTACATCTAGAAATAATGTAGGGACTAGCTAATTGTCCTTCGTCGTCTTAATCTAAAATAAATTTTAGGTATTGTATCAATAATAACAGCTAAAACTAACAATAGGCCTTTTCTTTTGTAAGCGTGCCGCAAAAGAACAAATAAAATAAGCACTTCTCTCGTGGCAACTCTGGACATAACGGAAATTTTGTTAGGCTTACATATGCAAAACACGTAATAAAAGTTAAAGTTAAAATTCCAAAAATTAATAATAATTCTTTGCAATTATTGGTAAGAACATTTTTCTTTTTACATAATGATTAATATATGAATTTCATGCCTTTTAACAGGAATATAATAAATAAATAAAATAATGTATTTGTTACGAACAGTGATAACACGAAAAACGAAGAATTAACGAAATCATTCGTTGTCGTTCACAGTAGACAAGTTTTTAGTCTTGGCAACCATGCGATTTGAGCTGCTTATTAGTTAAGCGGTTTCAAAAAGGTTGGACTAAATAAGCGAGCAGTGTTGTTGTTTCATATGTTATTTTTAAATTAAACGGTTCTTCTTTTGTGCTTTGCTTACAAAAGAAAACGTTCATTATTTTAATATATAGCGTTTTAAAATGATTGTTAGCTTGTTCGATTATGACAATATTTTGATATTATTGAAGTTTTTTAAATAAAATTCATACAAAAAAGTGCTGATGAGATTTTACTTTTACAAATTGGAAAAAATTCAGTTTTTGATAAGAATAAAAGTAAATATTTTTTGCACTAATATGAATATTGTTCAGTTATTTAATGAATATGATTAATAATGAAAATTTTTTATTCTGAATTATGTGTAGTTATTACTGTTATCAAATAACACACATTACTGAACTATTATATATGCTACCAAGTTGGACGACTGTGGCAGTCGCGGTACTAGATAGGTATAAACTAAAGTTGACAATTATCAATTGACAGGTTTTTCAATTTTTCAAACATTTCCGTACAGAATTGCTTGCAATCTTGCTATATCTAAACCCATGTATATATACTTGCAACGTAACAAAAAGGGAAGAGAAAAACAGTTGCTTTGACATCTGTTGCTTGTAATGTGGATGTGCTATAGTGGAAAAATAGTTGTTTCATTTTGATGCTTAAAATTCTGCAATAGAGGTGTTCTTGCACTCTTGCCATTTTAGTATAGTATTCTTGCATTTCGCACATTTTACAATGGCTTTGCACAAGGCAGAGTAAATACCCCTAATATATTCTTGAAACTTCCAAAAATATTTAAACTACAAGTTTTTTATTTCAAATATTATATTTATTTTATATATTAATATTATAATTTCTTTATATTAATATTAATTTTAAAATTTTAATATAGCCTATACCAAAAAAAAATTAAAATGATATGAAATTATTTTCAGTATAAAATTTATAAGTTTTATAATTTTTTTGAGATTTTTATTATCAAAGTTATTGTTTGTTGCTGTCTATACATATTTCCGTTTAAAGTTGCACAACTTGGTTGTATGTGTAATATTGCTTTTATTCAATACGATTGATATGCGACTAAATTGGTGATCATATTTTCTTATAAATAAAAATTTGGCAGGACCCGAGTTCGTTTCCTGGTACTTGCAGTCTCAAAAAAATAATTATTTACGAATAGTTAAATACAAGAATTATTTCGAAGACCACTAATGATGGGTATTTGGCAATACTCGAAACAGCTGTATGGTCAGCCAAAAATTCAATTAATTAAAATAATATAAAAATAAAATTTTTGTTGTTGTAGTTCACTACTGTTCGAAAAACCTCTTTATAAATAAAAATATTTATTTCAAAAATATTTATTTATTTAAAATTAAATAAAAACTATTAAAAAAACTATTTTTTTAACATTTTTAAAAATCAATTAACAATAAGAAAATGAAATCATTATAATAATTAAAAAGTGTTAATTCATTATAAATACATAAGCAAATGCATGCAACCTAAAAAAACTTTATCCATCCTACCTTTCATAACAACAGAAAACATTAAACACACACATATACAAAACTCTTGCAGCAATTGCGAAGTAGTAACTTGTGTGTTCCTTTATGAGCAGAGCTGTCAATAACGAAGTTTCATAAACATTTCTATGTAAAGTTCTACCGCTGCTGTGTCACGATATAGTACAGCGATGGTAGGCATAATTATTTGGTGTTCGGTGGTTTAGTATTTTAAACTTTAACTTTTATTTTAAAATACACTTATTTATAAAATATTGCATCATATGTAAAGGTATATGAATTAAAATTTCATATATGTACATATGTGTATTTGATACAAATTAATATCCAAATAAAATTTCTTGCACTTTGTTGATACTGCAATATGACGTCATGCAGTCTAATTTCACTTAACATAAATTTATCTAAAATATAGTTTGAATAATTGAATAATCTTCAAAAGATGCATTTTTTAACAAAAGAAACTGTGGGCAGTGATAAATAAATATTATATTCCTATTTAAAGAAAATTTAAATATGTAATTATAATTCTATTTGAAATAAAACCACAGCTTGCATTTGTCATGGTGTTGCATTGACGACTTTGTTTTGTTTCTATTCGCTGTAATCCTGTAATCAAATTAAGCAAGATAATGAAAATGAAAAAAAAGCGAATTTGTTGCAACTCTTATTAATGTAATATTAATATAGTACATTATTGTTAGCAACTAACAATTTTTTTTGTAAATTATAATAAACTGATATCTCCAATGTGTAATAAAAAAAATATAAAAATTTTTTTCAAATAATTTTAAACTCATTTACAAATAAGTTGCATTGGAAAGTAGCACACAATAAAAATAAAAACACTAGTTTATCATTATGCTTTAACACTGTCTTCATAGTTGTTTTTGTGATTTGGAGCATAATTGCAAAAGTTTTCGCCGTTGTGTGACTGATTTCCTGGGCTAAGTAATTAATATGTATAAGTAATAGCATTTTATTAAAAGCAATGACGTAAAAAATTATTGTTGGCTTGTACTTTATCACTTGCTGAAAGAAACTGATGATGAGTAATGAAGTAACGAATAATTAATAATTAATTATATTTTTAAATTATTGCATAATTCTGAATTATTAAATGCTAAATTATTTTTGTTTATTAAGAATATATTAGCATATTTTCTACAAAGAAAACATTTTAAATGCACTGGAGAAATGTTTAGATAAAAGCAGATATTTGATCTAATATATAAGAGTACTTGTAATGGAACCACATAAGGCTGCGATTACATTGCATGCGAATTTTGCCTTGCGTGTTCGTACGAACAAACCAAATGTATGTAATCCTAAGTGAGTGGTTACAGTTACTGAGAGCTATTCTCGCGACGTCTTGTCTTTCTCATGCGAATATTTGATTAAAAAAATATTCAAAATCAATAGTGTAAATAGTGAAATTGAGAGGTGTGTGTTATTTCATGTAATTTTAAGTTTATAAATGGAAATAAATTTGAAAACATCACTACTTTTAGGAAATGGATTGCGATTTGCTAATTTCTTTGTTTAAGGAATAAACACACTTTCCATTTTTATACCTTAAAGAATAAAAATCATGCATATAAATTCATTTTTTGTTATTTGAAATTAATAAATAAGTTGATAATGAATTTTTAGCTAAATATATTTCATCTTCACTATCCATTTTGTTCACAAAACAAACAAAACAGAACTGTAAATTCGCCAACAATGTAACCGCAATATGCGATTTGTTCGCATGAGAAAACATACAGTGACGAACAAAATTATTGGCACAGCAAGCAAATTGAACTTTAATACTATTTTTATCCTTTTAATAAAGAGAGCTTTAATCAACAAAAATTTTTTTAGATAAAATGCTTAATTTACTTTTAAATTCATTTTATTTCACTTTATTTTCTCTTATATTTCATTTTTTAATATTAAAAAACCAAGAAGTCAATTTTTGTGCGGTTTTTGGTCCAAAATTTTGCCACTCTTCAGCAATGCCACCTTCAGTTCTGGCTTTGTTGTTATAATGGGCTTCTTTGGACGTCTATTCTATATAATATATGAACTAAAACACCTACTCTTCGGATAGATTTGTTCCCTTTCGGAACTGCCTTCACAATACTTCGGAGAGGGTCTCTCTTATTTGCCATTTTAAGCCATGCACTTTTGATATTCACTCTGCTCTATTTATTAGCCTAGTTTCTAATTCTCATTTATAGTTCTAAGAATTTTGAGATGAAAAAAATAAATTTTATTTAAAACTATAATTCGGTTTTGAATATTTCATCGTTTACTATTGCCAATGTTGATTAATTCACTTAGGTAGTTTAAGCTACTTACTCCGTTGAACCACTTATCTTCCATTTTTATCCTTTTATTGAACTTAAGCTTATAGGTTTTATAGCACACTCACGCTGTCTCATTGCAGCCACTAATGAGAATGGTTTACAGTACTAAGTGCTTTCATATAAATTAGCTCATTATCAATGAGTTAGCTCATTTAAGGTGAAAAGTGGTGAAAGCAATCTTTAAAAATTAATTTTCCACAAGGGAAATTATTGAAATTTGAAATATGTGTCACATGTTTTTTATATGAAATATTAACAAACAACAGCTGACCTGTAAACAAACGTGCTGAGAAAATAAGTATTTAATAAAACTTTTGTTTTTATTAATTTAATACGTAATTGATATATAATATTTATAAAAATTTTTAAAAATACTTTTAGCTGCATAAATGAGCTCATTATAATGTGAACGTTCACTCATTAATATAAATGAGCAAGTGTCTAAATGAGACAGTATGAATGTTAAGTGTTTAAATAAAAAACTTATGTATTATTAAATTTTTAGCATATAACTTTAAAATAAATTTTTTATTTCTATGTATAAATTCAACTATTTTTTGCTTAATGGGAATAATTTATGATATAAGACAAATTAAAAATGTCAAAACCAAAACAATCTTGCTATTGATAAATGAAATATAAAATTTTCACATTTATCAAATTGAAAATTCTTCAAATTCAACACATAAAATTATTAAAAAAAAAAACTCCCCAACCAATAATAAAAAAACATTAAATATGCACACCAAAAACCAAATTAAATTGTTCAAATTATGCAATTTACGAGATGCATAATTGCAAATAAAATTAGAATTTAAAATTTCTTCATAATTGAAGTTTTAATTAATTTAGTAAAAATTCTTTACAGCACTCAAGGATGCAGTGAAGAAGGCGAAATTGGAAGAAATAATTATACCATTTGGCGTTGGCATTGCCGGTACTGTGGCACAAACGAAGGAAATGATAAACATTAAAGAGGCTTACAAGGATGCACGCTTCAATTGTGAAATTGACTTAAAGACTGGCTATAAGACGAATACCATTTTATCGATGCCCATTTGCAACTACGAGGGTGATATTATAGGCGTGGCACAAATTATTAACAAAACCAATGGCTCTATGGAGTTTGATGAACATGATGTCGAAATATTTCGACGTTATTTGACTTTTTGTGGTATTGGCATACAGAATGCACAACTTTTTGAAATGTCCGTCCAGGAATATCGTCGGAATCAGATACTCTTGAATTTGGCGCGTAGCATATTTGAGGAGCAGAATAATCTTGAATGTTTGGTAACCAAAATAATGACGGAAGCACGTGAATTACTTAAATGTGAACGTTGCTCTGTGTTTTTGGTGGATCTCGATTGCTGTGAAGCAGTAAGCATTTTTACTATTAAAATTTAATTTATAGTTTGAAACTTTATAATTTATGTATGAAAATGGAAAAGAGTACGTAGTGCGGTTGCCTAATGGTCAGTGGTGTTGACTTATAAAATTTATGCGGCAAACTTTTACTCAAACACGTAGTCTTGTGTGAAACCAAAGTTTATTCTCGTTGAGGCATGTGACACTGATTTGTTGTGCAAGGATGCGGTATTAATTTAGAAGATTGGTTATTGCAAAAAAAAAATAATACATTTTTTAAACTGTTTTTTTTTTTGTGGTAAAAGAAATTTGTTAAATTGCAATATAGCTCTTTTAGTATTTTTTGCGATTATATAAAAAAATGATATCTTCAAGTACATTTAGCATTTATAGTCAATGAAGTAAATTCTTAGCACATTAAATGTTCATTTTATTTAAATATTCCCTAAAGAAATTGCAAGTGCTGTTTATTTTGTGTTGTTTTTTTTTGTTTTGTTTATTCTTTAAGTTATTAAAATTTATTTCGTTTCAAAAAAAAAAACAAAATTCACAACGGCATTAATTTTGCATAATTTATGAATTCTCTACATAACTTGGTTTGCTGCACGCACCGCAAAGCGCACAACAGTGCGTATGAGTAACATATAAAAATTTTATGTAAATTTTATTTGCACATGTTCACATAAACACATTTCTATATAAAAATTCAAAAGGTAATATATAAATATATTTACAGAAAATGGTTTGCATGTGGTTTTTAAAAGTAATTAAGTTGTTATAATTAAATTGAGTACATTGTGCTTAAATAAAATTTTATATATTTTTAATTGCTTATAATGTCAAAGTAAATAGGTCTATAAAAAAATACTAGTAAAATAGTTAAGATTATATTATTAAATTTTATTAGTTAGAAACTATGTATTTAATAAAAAAATATTTTTTTATTATATTTTTAAACAATATGGCTTAAATTAATATTTACCTGAAGCTTTTCGTTTTTTTATTTATTTTGTAATTTACTGGTTAAATATTTTATATGCGAAACATATTTACGATAATGTAAACTATAATTATTAAAAATTAATATAATTTTTTATGTACGTTAAAATTATTAAATAAAAAAAATGCATTAAGCAATTAAACTACAGGTAAACTTCCATAACTAGAACTTCTATAATTCGAATTTTTTATAACTAGAACTAAAAGGGTGCAACAGGGTTTTTGTTAGTAAATTACATGCAAATCTGCTTCCATAACTCGAACTTCTATAACTCAAATTTCTTTGCAACTCGAATAAAAATATTGTCACTTACCAATAGGAATGTGGGAAAGTTGATTTTTTGTTTTAAGTATAAATTTATCTTGGTATTAGGGGAAGTCTCTTTTTCCAAACCAAATGTTTAATTTTTTGTTGCTTCTTTGTGCAAATGCGAGTCACTGGCAGCGTGGTTTAAAGTGAATAAAATAACTTCCAATGCGTCTCTTAACGTCTATATTGAGCTTGATAATGAAGTTTCTACACCAAGCTTTACTACAGTTGACGATATAATTGACCACTATAGCTCTAAATTACTGGAACCAATTCTAAGCGCAACGAAATGTAATGATGATCGTTCGGTGAATAAAATTGTTTATTAACCTTCCAAGAATGAAGTAGAAGAGTCATTCAAAATTCTGAATTTTTATTTGCAAACGAATGATACTGATGACTGACAATCACTATCAGGCTTTGAATAAATTGAAAACTCTTTTCACTAAAATTAAGAAAAAAAATTAAAATCTCTAATTTCCGAATATTTTATTTTGCTATAATTGTGTTGTATTTGATTTCAAATAAATAAATAAATATCTTAAAATGTAATTCTAGTTTCTTTCAAAAATAAAAAAAATTAAAAAATTCTATAACTCGAAGTCTCCTTAAGTTGGACTTCCAGTTAATACAATTATAAGTTGTTATTGTAAAATAAAAATCGAACTATTTTTGTGCTTTGCTTTAACGAAAAGTTGAAAGTTCAAAGCTGCTTTAACTAAAATTTTTAAATCAGTTTTTATATATATTATATTATTATTTATTAAACAAAATTCTTAAACGTTTAAAAATAACATTGTATAAAAATATTATATGCATTTACCATATACCATACTGATAGGCTTTATTTATAACTATTGATTTAACTTACAATATAGTTGAAAACTATTTTTTATATTTGTAAATCATTTTTAATTACTATTTCCATAGTCAATATTAACTCCAGAAATATTCATTACACACTGAAAAATATTTTTTCGATTTCTTTAAAAAATTTTTATTCCTATCTTTTAACATAAATATTTGCATCTCATATTTGATACTTTTTCCATGTTGCGTATACATGAGATACATTTAAAAATCTAGTTAAAAATACCTTAAGTATCTACAGAACTTTTTACAAATGAAGTTTTTTTTTTTTCATTTGTAGAAGCATTCTTCAACGTGCTATCCTTATTGCATTTGGATGCATTCTTTGTTGGCTGCCATAAAATGAAACTAGTTGATGTATCTGAAAATGTTAACAAGTATTTTAAAGATGAAGAAAAGTTCGAAACTTAAGTTTTGAAATAATACAGAAATAATTATTCGCAGCTTCATCTTGTTATACGAATTTTCATTAAAATTCTCTCTCTCTGTAGAATACTTAAGATACTTTAAATAATGAAGCAGATTTTATAAAGAAATTGCAAAATCCTGAAATAATAGTAAAGCCTCTTACAATTAAAATTGCTTCTTAAGTTGGCATATGAAATACACTTAAAAAAAACCTTTTTTTTATATGTAATTAGTAATCAATTATTGTTTTTTTTATTCAATATTATATATATATATTTTATAAATAATTCAATTAAAGTTAAAGTTATGCACAGTTTTTTCAAGTTCAATATATCGATATTATTAGATAGCATATAATAAATGAAAATTTAAGGCAGATTATAATTTATTATTTAATAAAATCGAAATACAATTAAATTTAAATCAGTTACAATAGAAATTATCATTTCACATTACAGCCCTAGTTTCTTCTGTCATATGCTTTCATGCCTTTTAGTTTAGGGCATTATAATTAAATTGGTTAATCTTATTCTATATAACACGACATCATTTAATGAAGTCAACTTTATTTTGGGCTATATTGGGATTTAAATAATCTACTAAAAACAATCATTTGTGTTTAAATAACCTCATCAAATTGTCTAATTAATATCAATTACAAAACAAACCTCTTCACTTTATTCATACATACAACAATACTTAACTTGTTTATATTCGCAAATACAGTAACATAAGCAAAAATCAAATACCAAGTTAACCAAAAAAGTGGATAAAAATAAGAAAAAAATAACAACGAAACGGATTGCGAATAAATGTGCCATTATGCTTGAAAATTTTTGAAGAAAACCACTCTATAAATATTATTAATGTTAAAATTCAGTTCGTAATTAGATATTAATTTTTAAAAATTTGATATTTTTTTATATTTAACTTATATGCCTATTATTCTATTTGTCCTAATTTTATGTTAGAATTTTATAGAGTTTTTAATCGTGAAATCATAATAAGTTTTATTATCAGAAAATATTTTAAGTAAATTAGTTGAGGGTGCATAAAAATGTGTCATATACCTGATTCTTAGGAAGATATATTTATTTATAAAAATTTTTTTTTTAATTGTAAATAATTTAAAATCAAGAAATATTTTATTTCAAGTACTTAAAAATTATTTTAAGAACATTATTTTAAAACAAAGCACAAATTAATAAATTAGTTAAGTTAATAAATTTATTTTTTAAATTTATATTTTTATAATTCTTTACAATTGATAGCTATTCTTTACCTTTAAAAATAGTTTTTATAATTAATATGTTATTAAATTTACCATTTTTTTCAAAACTTTATAGAGTCATTTGGAAAAAATTATAGAAAAACCAAATCAAAATGACAGAAAGATTAATCGTGCCATACTAAGCAGTGAAAGCTTCGATGATAAGGTTAGTATTATTTATATTTTTGTATAGAATTGTTTATAGTTTTATAAATGAATTTTTATAATAAAAACCTCGAAAATGCAGAATAAAATTAATTATTTATTTATTTAAATTGAATTATTTTTAAGCTTATTTTATATTATATTATTTAATTTTATAAATATATTATATTCATATTATCGTTTTTATTATTTTTATTTTATTGTTAATTTTATTGCATATTTTATTTTATATTATTTGTTTAATTTAATTTTGTATATTATTATATATTACAATATATATAAGCATATTTAAACTATTTAAAATTTAATTTAATTTTTTTTTTATTATTTTATATTATATTTTATATATTATATTTGACTTTATTTTATTTTAAGTTTTTACACTCTTCTAATGTGAATATTTATTAAATATAGTTTTTGTATATTATTATATAGTACAATATGTATAAGCATATTTAAAATATTTAAAATTTAATTTAATTTTTTTTATTTTATTTTATATTATATTTTATATATTATATTTGACTTTATTTTATTTTAAGTTTTTACACTCTTCTAATGTGAATATTTATTAAATATAGTTTTTGTATATTATTATATAGTACAATATGTATAAGCATATTTAAAATATTTAAAATTTAATTTAATTTTTTTTATTTTATTTTATATTATATTTTATATATTATATTTGACTTTATTTTATTTTAAGTTTTTACACTCTTCTAATGTGAATATTTATTAAATATAGTTTTTGTATATTATTATATATTACAATATATATATAAGTATATTTAAAATATTTAAAATTTAATTTAATTTTTTTTTTATTTTATTTTATATTATATTTTATATATTATATTTGACTTTATTGTATTTTAAGTTTTTACACTCTTCTAATGTGAATATTTATTAAATATAGTTTCTGTATATTATTATATATTACAATATATATAAGTATATTTAAAATATTTAAAATTTAATTTAATTTTTTTTTTATTTTATTTTATATTATATTTTATATATTATATTTGACTTTATTTTATTTTAAGTTTTTATACTCTTCTAATGTGAATAAATATTAAATATTGTTTCATATTTTACTATCAGAAATCTCGCATACGTTTTACTGTACTCTTTGAATTGGGTGTCGATCATCAATCTGCAAATATTTCGCGACCCTCTATGAATGATCTAAACAACTCCACTTTGGCACAAATTGCTCAGTTTGTGGCAACGACTGGACAAACCGTAAATATCAACGATGTACGTGAATGGGTACGGGAACATAATCAGATCCGCACTGAAAATGAAATTGATTGCACGAAGGCAATACTCTGTATGCCCATAGTTAACGCTCAAAAGACAGTTATAGGCGTGGCACAATTAATAAATAAGGTAAATCTATTCATCAAAAAAATTTATTTATTTCAACTATTTTCAAGTATTTGTGTATCATTCGTTATAATAAAATATTTTTGATATTCAGGGTAATAATTTACCATTTACTGAATCGGATGCATCAATATTTGAAGCATTTGCCATATTTTGTGGTCTTGGCATACACAACACGCAGATGTATGAAAACGCTTGTAAGTTGATGGCCAAACAGAAAGTGGCACTAGAATGTTTGTCATATCATGCAACAGCCGGTCAAGACCAAACCGACAAATTGACACAGGATGCCATTCAATCAGCGGAAACTTATAATTTATATAGTTTTAAATTCATTGGTGAGCAATTTTTAGAGCATAAATAATTTTTTCCATGAAAATAACTTATCACCTTTTTAGATTTTGATTTATGCGATGATGACACTAGTCGTGCTGTCCTGCGTATGTTTTTGCAATGCAATCTTGTGGCTCAATTTCAAATTCCTTATGATGTGAGTAGAAGTCATAATAGCAGAATTGAAATCTATCTAGAAAAATAAATAAATATTTTATAAAATAGGTGCTTTGTCGTTGGGTTTTGAGTGTGCGAAAAAATTACCGTCCTGTTAAGTATCATAATTGGCGTCATGCATTGAATGTTGCTCAAACGATGTTTGCCATGTTGAAGACAGGAAAAATGGAACGTTTTATGACTGATTTAGAAATATTAGGCTTACTTGTGGCTTGTCTCTGCCATGACCTGGATCATCGTGGCACAAACAATGCTTTTCAAACTAAAACTGAATCACCACTTGCCATACTTTATACCACAAGTACAATGGAGCACCATCATTTTGATCAGTGCGTAATGATTTTGAACTCTGAAGGAAACAATATCTTTCAGGTACTTTATTTGAATGAAAACACTTTTTTATTATTATTTTATTTAATTTTATTTTATATTGATATTTTAAGGCATTATCACCAGATGACTATCGTAGAGTCATGAAAATTGTTGAGAGTGCTATATTATCTACTGATTTGGCCATGTACTTCAAGAAACGTAACTCATTTTTGGAACTTGTTGAGAATGGCGAATTTGACTGGCAAAGTGAGGAAAAGAAAGATTGTAAGTTGTTAATAAAGATATATCAATCAATGTATTTTAAAAATATTTTTTTTTTTAGTACTTTGTGGCATGATGATGACAGCTTGTGATGTCAGCGCCATTGCCAAGCCATGGGAAGTACAACATCGTGTAGCTAAATTAGTCGCAGATGAATTTTTTGATCAAGGAGATTTGGAAAAGTTACAACTTAACACACAGCCTGTAGCTATGATGGATAGGTTAGTTGTTTTATTCTTATATTTAATTTTTTTTTATTTATTCAACTATAATAAGAATATTTATAATTTAAAGAAATTGTTTTCTTTTTCCGCAGAGAACGTAAAGACGAACTACCTAAAATGCAAGTTGGGTTCATTGATGTCATATGTTTACCTCTGTATCGCGTCTTATGTGATACTTTTCCTTGGATTACTCCACTCTATGAAGGCACTTTGGAAAATCGACGTAATTGGCAAGATTTAGCTGAAAAAGTTGAAATGGGATTAACTTGGATTGATCATGATACTATTGATAAGCCAGTAGAAGAATTTGCAGGTGCGTGCAAGGATATATAATAATTTAAAAGATTTTTTTTTTTGGAGTAAATTTAAATATTTAAATGTACATAATTAATATAAGTAACAAAATACATTAATAAATTTTATAATTTAATTAGATTTTTTATTATTTCTTACTTTGTTTTGTAACAGTTGCGCTCAAAGAAATGAACGATCTATTGTCGAAAATTATTTGCTTTTGTTTGGATTTTTTTCTTTTAAAAATTATTGGAAAAACTTTAACTTCAAACAAAAAAGAAACACACACTTTACCTTTTACATACGACATACGACTGTTTTATTCTTAAGTTCTTATAAAATTTACTTAACACCTACATCTTCTAGTCCATGATCAACTATTGCTGGTAACATGGTAGATATGTGATGAAATAACACGGTAGAAATGTGGTGTAGTAACATGGTAAAAATCTGAAAAATCTTAAAATTGTCATATAGTAATCATGGTAGATGTATGACGTAGTAATATTTTTCTCTGCCAATAACGTTTTAAGTATCTGTATCTTGATTAAAAAAATCATTTGATCAGTGTTTAAGAATTAAATTAGGCCACGGTTCCGCCCTTGATAATATAATTTATAGATAATAATACACTGTAAGAACACTGCTAAAAAGTATTTTCTAATATATTTCTTTTTTGGCGTAATTCTGGCTACACCATTGTAATTAGATCGTACTGCTGAAAATTAATATCTCTTCAAAATGAATATGCAGATATTTGTAGATACCATAAAAATACCATAAAAATAAACTAACATCTTGCTTTACTTATGTCCGATTTTTATTACCTGGCAAATCTTTATTACTCGATCTCATAGAATAAACATAAAATGGGTTACTTGAATCAGAGAATATCATAAATAGTTTCAATATACATAATAGTTTCAAGATACATAAGGGTAATTTTTTTTTTACCGTTGTTTTTACCGATAATTGATCAATTTTTATAATAATAATAATTGATAACAATTTTATTCAATATTAATATTATAGTCTTATGATAGAATGAGACTCGGTTTCTTTTTATATCTCTCATACTCAATAATTCGTTTAATTTCTTTTTCTTTTTTTGTCTTTTTATAAAATATAAAAAAGATATCAAGAAAATATCTATAGAGAAGTTATTATTCTTCAGTTACTTCGCGACTATAATCTATGGTGGCCATCTTCCTTTCCGTGGCCATCTTCCGATTTAATAAATAATATTTGTAGAATTTTTAGAAAAATCGTTTCTACTCGTAGAAATTAAATCCAATTTTTATATATCCTTTTTAGCTTGTGCTGATGAGGAAATCAAGGATATTGAATTTACTGTTACCACATTAAATTGCCACCAGCAACAGCATAGTGATGATACAACACCAGAACATCATCGCGGTGGCTCAAGATTAAGTATTAAAAAAACTGGAGCATTAGGCAAAGTTGTGCGTTCCAAACTAACCAAAAGTCTCTACAATAGTATGGATGGAGTAAAACCGAAAACATCACTTAAATTACTTGAATCACATGTAAGTGAAGATTTGGAAGACAAAAGTCCAACAAGTCCATCACAGGCGGTTGCTGGCAGTGGTCATATGTCGACATCATCTTCAACATCTTCAGCTGGGATTGTTGATAAGACAAAGAAACGTTCCAAATTATGTGCGCTTTTGTGACGAAAGTCGTCCAATTAGAATATGGCGACTTCTACTGGCAATTGCAATACAACCAACAACACAAACAGTAACAATAAAGCCAGTGGAGGGACGACAGATATCTAATTGGAATTAAATTATAGCTAATTTTCAAAAATACATTTTTGATTATATACAATATATAGCAAAATTTTTGTATAATAAAATATTCGCTTAAAACCATGAAGAGGCTAAGTGAAGAAAAAATATAGTCAAATTCTCTTGTTGTACAACACTTAAAATCTTTAACAATATCATTTGTTTTAGAACGTTAAGTATAATTGACGTAAATGACGTTGCAATAGTTAATTAAATTGTAGAATTCATACTAATGATAATTAAGTAAATGTCAAAATATGTGATCTACTTAAGGTCGTCAGGGTTCACTATTGTGTACTAATACATAAACCTATGATGAGAAAAGAACTTACTTCTACTTAGTTTAAGTATTTATATATATATAGTTTGTAGTTAATATATGTCAATAGCACTTAAATAAATTAAAGTTACTATTTTCCTAATTAAACAATACCAAAGTAAACTAGTCAAATTAATTTCAAATATGTAATTAATTGCTTTATTATTAAAAAAATTATTTTAAAAAGAATCAATAATAATAGTTGTATATATGTAATTTTATAAAAAGACCTATTAAAAATATGTAAAATTCAAAATGCATTATCTATATATAAAATAAAAATATATAATTTATTTATATTTATTGTAAAAGAAAAGCAATATGCATAAAATTGAAATTGAAGTTAAAGTTGAGCTTAAAAATGAACGATTTTGATGAGCAGTTTGAAAACTATTCAATATATTTAATTCTTTTTTTTGTATTAAAGTTTATTAACAAAAAAAAAATTACTTAATGAACCAAATATGATTTTTTTAAGAAAGTAAAAGGGTAGTAGATATTGCATTTTTTATTTAAAAGTGAGGAACTTGTTTATTAGTAGTCCTACTAATCAAATTGACACGTGAACTCTATTGGAGAAATTGCTTAGACTAAGTTCTATAAAATTGCACTATTACCAGAACTGGTGAGCTTAGACTAAGTTTTATAAGATTGAATTGTTATCAGATCTAGCGAGTTAGCTATGTGCTCCCTGCTTTACTGAGTCTAGTTTTGTAATAAAAATTTACAAATATTGATGAGTTATTTAAAGTTTAATAAGACATAAAAATTATTTAATAATTTTACTGGTAATATAAAAGCATGACAACACATATTTGTATACGTTAATGCTGGTTAAAGTTAATAAATTTAATTGTATGTACTTTTTTCATTATCCTAGACTACAGCAATATATTGAAAATACAATAGACATTTCAAACTAAATTGTATATTCATATTAAAGAATCTCTTAACGAATACCTACACTGATTAAGTATTTATTTTTATGTAATTAATAATCACTAAACTGATAAATAAAATAAATAATCAAAATATGAAATTACTTTACATATATTTATATAAAGACAAAAGTATCTACACACTATACAAACTTTATATATTATATTAGTATTTAAAAGCTGGTAAGAAAACTTAAATACACATTTTCGATGTAAATTGTATTGTAAATGGAGTGAGGGTTACTTCTAATCTAAAACTGATGAATAAAATCATAACATCAGGAATTAAATATTAAAAATTCTACTTTAAATGTAACAATTGTTGAAGACATTTTAATAGCTAAATGCAAAATATATACTTAAATTGGTTATATTGCCAAAAATATATTTTAAATAATAAATGCTAATCTTGCATGTCAATTTTAATTACTTTAAGTCATTAGATACTACAATAGAAAACTTAAGAGAAATAAACTATAAATAAAATAAAATTAATTGTAATTCTTAAAAATCATTATTAAATGTATATTATAAAAAAAAATATTTACAAAAATTCTGAATGGCGTAAAAACTATTATATGTACTAAAATCCATAGTAAGAAATACTATGTAAAATCATAAATCAAAATTTATTAAAAAAAGAAAACAAAAGCTTATTTGAAAAGAAACTAAAATTATAACTTTACTTATATATGTAAATGTATGCACAAAAAATTATTGCAGAAAAACAAAAACAAATTTAAAATAATCAAAAATTATACTACACTCTAATTAATTTGTATAATTAACAAACAGAAAAAAAATGAAATCAAAATATATTTATTACATACATATATATGAGTATATATAAAATAAAAATTTAGTTAAAAACTACAAAAAGTGTGTATCAAAATATGATTTAAAATTTTTAAAATGTTATAAATAAAATAAAAACATAAATAATATATTATAAATAAAATAAGAAAATTTTTCTGAGTGTGGTGTATAAAAAATCGTAAATTATTTTAATAAATGCACAAAATCTAAAATATTTCTTTTAGAATAATTTTAATTTTTATGATGTTACTTAAATTAAGTTTATTTATTGTCTGAAATGATTATATTATTTAAAAATTAAATAAAAGACACATTCATCCTTATGTACATTTTCGAAATCTGTTTTTGGTTCTTATATAATTGGCATCGTATTGTTTTATAAAATAAAAATTCATTTTTCATAAAATAAATGAAATTTTTTTATATTTTTATATATATACCAATGTGATTGCTTTAATAGCAATTTATAAAAAAAAACAACAAATTTCTGAATAGAACTAAACGAGGATATATAGTTTACTATTCTACAATTTTAAAATACTTTTTTCAGGCTCAAACCTGATAGCTGTCTACAAAAAAAATTTAGTCTTTTGGTCCGAAGGAGCTACATTGTTAAAGCCTATACATCATCTACAGAGTCCATTTTAAAATATCTCTTTAATTAAGTTTGTACTTCACATTTCATTGAGTACATACAAATCGAAGTGCAGTTTTCACGCTGTTTGGAAGCACATTTGGATACGTTAGAAAAGTAAAAAAAATGTTAAAAAAATAAAATAAACACACTATATTACACAGCACTAATATTTCACTTCCTATTCTTTGTTTTTACTGCTGAACAGTCTTAAAAACTGTAAAAAAAAAACTTTCTAACAAGTAATTTTTTCTGTTAGCTAGAACTGAGCCGTCACGGTAGGTATTTGGGTTCCTATACATTAGTTATCTTAAAACACTGCAATAAGCTTGGCAGCTTGGCTACTCGATCTCTGTTAATAACTTTCTCATACCCAGTCTTTTTGCATAAAGATCAGGTCGACTTGGTTGTTATACATGTTGTGAGCTAGTGGATATAGCTAGTGGATATAGTTGCCTCACTTAACGATCTCTGGGGAAATATAAGAAAGCGTCAAGGTGGGTTAAACTATTCACTTTTTTGTTCCCCTCAATGTTTCTATGAATGGGAGCTCATATGAAAATGATGTCCGCGAGTTCATTTAGCCCCACATTCTCTTACTTGCTTTGGTGTAATGGTGAAAAATGGAAGCACTTTATTGAAAATCACAACCTTATATCAATATTAGATGTAGTGTGCAATTAAGTTCAAGCCTACTTAAATGCTTAGACTGTAAAAAATAAGACTAAGAAAAACTATAGTTTCATTTAGCAGTCGAATTACAAAATGTATATCAACGAATACTGAAAATATATCTGCAACTAACCCGCAGTCCATTCTTGAACTATAACATAGTAACAGAAGTAATAAAAAATAGATAAAAAAGTCCCGTTGACACTTATTTACATCTTTCACATCTGAGAAATGAATGAATATTTGAATACTTAAAATGATTGTGTAAAGCTTTCTGGAGTATTTTTTTTGTGTGATAACATTTTATCATTATATTCAATGCTTTTAAGTTACACTTTTTTCTCATTATATTTTCTTTCCCCAATATCTTTGATTTGTTAATTCTTCCTTGATTAATTTCTTTGATTCTTCTTAATCTTTTAAGAATGAATTTCAAATATTTTAAAATATAATAAATAATTTTTTTACAGTTAATTTGTTTCTACCTTATTTTTTCGTTTTTAGTGCTGTTAATTAGCATTTTACTATTTATTTTAATGTAAATATTTAAATAAAAATGAGGGGAAAGAAGAATTATACATTGCATTATATGTATTCCATTGTTACTTAAAAATATTTATATTACCTGGATTAATTAATTTAATAATCATTAAATTTTCTTGAACTTTTTTTATTTCCTTTCCTTTTATTTTTTTTCTTCAATTCTCTAGATAAACAAATACTATAATTTAAATATTCAATGGATTCTGATTAAAAAATGAGAAGAAAAAAACTTAATCAATAGATTAATTGAAACAACGTTTGTAGCTCTATTCATGTATATATAGCCCTTGGGCACTATACGGAGATGGGGGCTTCTGCAATTTAATCACTTTTACAGCTGGTTTTGATGTCAGCAATATTTCAACAGATTAAGCAAAAAGCATAACCGATCGGTTACAAGTAAGCATGGATAAAACTTGAAGGCAAGGACCTAGCAGTCCAGTTCCTTATTCTTAGCTAACTTTAAAATTAATTTTAATGTTAAAATTAATTTTAATGTTAACTCACAAATTAATAAATAAATAATCATCATTTATTATAATAATTATTTTAACTTACGAAAGGATTGCAATAATTCAAGGCATATATAACTTTAACCTCCTGACTTATCTGGTCAAAACAATTTAGAACAGTCATATATAAAATAATTGAAGTTACTATATAGATATATAGATGAAGTTCTTCAACGTTTAATTTTCAATTCAGTTTGGAATGTTAAGTCTGCATATCGTTTTGAAGTTATTAGACAGAGAATTTTTAATTTGTGCGCCTCACAAAGGACATTTTAATAGTCGAGCGTATAGTTCTTGTATTATATAACAGTAATCAGTAAAAATTTTCTGTCAAAAAGTATCATAAAAATGTATACATTTTATAATATTTTATTATTATTTAACTCACATTATTTAACTTGTATTAAATTGAATCTTATTCTTAGCAGTTTCAAAATAAAAGTTTTAGCCAATCACTACTTTAGCAGGCTGATTTCTACGCCTACGTCTACGTCTACGTGAACTTGTTGTGCCAGTGTTCGTTGACGACGAACTTCCGCCATTTCGCCTTAAGCGACGAACTGCTGTGTATTGTAAGTTTGTAACATAAACTCGTCGTCTAGTGCCGCCTGTTGCTGCTGTTCCAGTTGTTCCAGTAGAAGCAGTAGCAGGAGCAGTAGAAGTTCCACTTTGGGCGTTTATATAGCTAATTCCTATAATCAAAATAATTAACACCACAAAAATATACTTCATTTCGTAGTTCTTAAAATTTATATTGTTTCTGATTAATAATGAAATTAATAAATTTTATGTCGGGTTCAGCCCTTTTATAGGAATTTGTTTCAGAAATTTGAAAAAACATTTCACAAATATTTGCTCTATTTAATTTACGCAAATTTTATTTTAATATAAAATATTTTAAATAAATATAACATATTTAGATATATTTTTAGAATACAACACAATAAAAAATTATATACATTTTTAGAACAAATAGCTAAATTAAATAAATTTTGTTCTGCATAAATGAATATAGGCAATTAAATTATATCTCTATAGTAATTAAGCTTTATCAAAAGATCTATTATTTACTAAATAATAATGTATTAAATACCTGAATAAAACATATTACAGTAATTACTATTAGACATTATTAGATGATTAACCATTTAGCTATATTGTCTCGACGCAAGTAACCAGTTAAATGAGTTGGAGTTAAATGTGTTAAATGATACAACTACTTTCTTGAGTAATTTAAAAAAAAAATTAAAATTTAATTTTAAATTTTTTGTAATTTTATGAAATTTTTTTTTAATTTAAAAAAATTATTTTTAATAATAAAAATTACGCCAACCAGTGAACGATCTGATCGTTGTTCTCTAAAATACATATAACTTAAATATAGCAGTTTATAAAGAAAATAAAACACATGTTTTTAAGAAAGTATAATTAATTATATATTAAATCAATGTAGTAAATTAAATGCTAAATAACTATTTATATTTTTAAAAGCAACCAAGGATATAAACAAAAGTAAATTTAGATCATACTATAATACTGCACGTAGCAGATATCTTCATGTCACACATGAACTATTATAGTCATGGTTCAAAAAAATGCAATAGCGCTAATCTCCAGAATAATGAGGCAGTGAGATTAAATAGTATTAACAAAACATTACTTTCAAAACCGTAATTCTCAATTTTCCCAAAATGGATCTTATACGAATATAAACCAATATGATTTAAATTTTTTTTTCTAAGTTCAAATTTTTACTTAAGTTCTTATATAGAAAAAATTTTTATTTTTCTAATTAATATAGACTCAATAATATTAAAATGAAGAGAGTTAATAGAACAGATTGTGCTTTTAGAAATCAAATATTTATTAGTTATTTATTAAATAGTTTTTTATCTTAAGCATCAATAGTCCGTAGAAGTTCTAAGCATTTTATACAAATATTTTTATCTACATATTTCTCTCTCTGGCTTTCGTCCCATGTTTTATATATCTATATCTGTTATTGATGAGATAGTTGCTCTTTCAGTAGGCTCCCTTTCTTATTTCTGTAAGTATTAATAATAAAAATTTAATTGGACAATTTTCATCTGGCATTTATGACGGAGTAAATCTAAAACCATTAATCGCTTGAGTTTAGAATATAGTTACATATGTTACATAGGATACATATGTCTAGATTGATAGATGGAATATTTCTTATAATTAGCTTAAAAACTTAGTGAATAAATTTCTTCCATTCAGGTAAACAAATACGTAGAAGTACGTCGATAAGTCTATTGAAGGATTGAATATAAATATTTATTTATTTGATATTTCTACTACAATCTTTGCGTAAAATTTTACTCTAGTATTCATTCTGATAGAGAATTAATAAGGTTTGAATGGCATATTCTTTACGTTAAAAATATTTTGACAAAATTTAATGAACACATCGTTAATAATACGAGTAAGAAGAATAAAAAAAGAAGATTATTTGCAATAGATATATTTAAATAAATATATACCACAAATACAAAATAATTATTATATATGTAGGCATAATATTAATACTTCTCTTATCTTTATACTAGCTGCACATTTTCTAAGTTATTCTAACCACAGACACATGGGAGTAGGCGAAAGGAGCCTAAGGAGCAGTACAGACTTTCACAAGAAAACCTATGGTGTAATGCAGTCTATCAATGCTAGACTAATGGTGAAAACATAGGAATATCTATGTTAACAGTTGCATTTAAATATGCTATTATTTTGTTTTTATGTAAGGAAATTGTTCCTTCGTTGTCCCCACGTCCCTCACTTTCACTACGTCTATGTACAAATAGTCACAACATTTACGTTTCGCTTCTGTGATAATACATCAATTAAAATGTTGGTATTCTTTTTTCAGTTATAGCCAAAAACTTAAAAACCTTGAATTAAGTTAACACAAGTGTTTCTTGTGCTTAAGATAATTTAAGGAAGGCGCAGTATTTACTGGCATATATTATGTATGTATTTTAATAGAGATATAATTTGTTCTAGTACATGTTAGAGTATATGATAATATTATTTATTTTTTGCATAAATTTTTATTTCATTATCTGTTTGGTATAAATATATTAAAACTAGAATCTCTTAATATATTACTTAGATAATCAAAGATTATATTATGAATCATGCTAAATTAATATTAATTAATGTTTAATATTAGTATTAGAAAAGTTCGATCTTTTCAATAGCAATCAAAGGCGTAACATTTATGGTTTAATCAATTAACACTTAATGTTCCCGAATAGAGTAGTAGTTTAGTCTTTATTAGTATTTAGTGTTAATACTTTAGTAAAAAGTATTCTATATTTTTTGGTAAAAACGTTATCATCCTAAATGATGATTATTTTGTCCTATTTGATATTCAGTTGATTACATTTCTTTCTTTTAGTTCAATAGGATCCCAGTCATCAACTTTCTTATTGTTATCAAGTTTATGTAAATAGTATAATGATTGATTCTTAGTTTCGTGACGATAATTTCATGGAGTTTTTAGATCAGAGCTGTCCAAATAATGGCTAATGTTTGTGCGGCCCGCGACTTGTTTTTAATCTACTACAATTACGCGAATTTTTTTGTGATATTCTCGTAAAACCACATTTTATTTTTATGTCATATCAAGTAGATGAATTTAAATTGAGAAATTAATAAAATTAAATTTAACGTTATAACTTTATTTTTATTTTTGTCGAAAACAACTATGAAGGTATGTATTTGTTTTTATGGCCCTCCAATATGCACAGTGATTGGTATTAGCCCGCGTTCGTATCTGCTCTGGATAGCCCTGTTTTAGATGATCGACCCGCTAAACACTTATATCGAGATTTTCAGTTTTTCAGAACAAGCAAACCATAGCCGATTCATCAATTAACATACTATTAAATAGCTTAATGCGATTAAGGATTATCATGGCCATTATTTAAGAAATTTAATTGGATTGAATTAAAGAAAGCAATATAAATGAAGAACTAAAAATGAAGAAAGATGAAGCAATCCTCACTACACATGGGTTTTTTAAATTTTATTTTTATTTTTAAAAAGCAAATAAATAAACAATATATGTATATAAGTAAATTTACTATAACAAACTTGTTTTTATTTGCAAAATGGAAAACAAATAAAAATTTGCAAAATTTTGTTACGTACTTTCCGACAAGTTTCGTATAAGTATGGTATATATAAAAATTTGCAACTGTAAAAATAATTATATAAATAGTATTTATTTACTTTGCTTTATTATTTCTTTAATATAACTTTACGTAACATTATAGTTATTTAAATAAGGAAAAAAACAAAAAAACTTCATAGAAGTTGGAAAAATACACAAAGGAACTGTTGAGAAACCACTAAGTTCAGTGTTAGTTTAGATTTAGATTAGATTAGATCAGATTTGGATTAAGAAACTTGTCTGCATATTTGTTATTGATCTTAATAGTTAAAATGTCTTAGGCTATGAACAATGATATATAGTTGTCTTTACTGAAACGGTTTGTTAATTGGTGATCCTACAGAAAATTTGGGATCTTCAAATATTTCTCTACAAACTTGACCGTTGAAATATTTGTGCTCAGCAATTTTGTAATCCCGACAGGTACTACAGTTTATTTATTTTTGAAGCTATACATTAAATAATTTTAATAATAATATTTTTTGAAATGAAACCTTCCACTACTCCTACAAGTTCAAGTTCATAGTCGGAAACCTTCTCACACTTCAGTGTATACAGGTTAAGTTCATAGTTTTGCTTAAACTTATTATCATATAAAACAAAGAAATGTTTTTTTTTTATACATAAAAAAGTAAAATGCGCAAAAATTTAGCAAAAATTTAAACAATTGTTTAAATATAGAGCATTTGACAAATTTAGTGAAAAGTAAATAATAAATAATATTAATAAATAAAGAAAATAATTTAAATATTTTATTCGTAAGTGAAATAGTTGAATAGCCCCTTATTTATAGACCCAAACCCTTATTTATAACATTATTCTTCCTCATTTCTACATAGCAGCGACAGGCAATGAAACATTAAAAGTGTAGGCCATAATCCAGATGATCCCATTTCCACTTTGTTAAATTTTGTGTTATGTTATTATTATTTGAATCAATGCAATTAATAAAATAAAGTTATTAATAATAAATAATAAAGTTAATAATTAATAAAGTTATTCCGAATAAATTTTTCATTTGATATTAAAAATATGCAACACACCCATTTCAATAATACAGTTTTGATCATCCCTGTGCAGGGTATTTCTTGTAACTCCAATTAAAATTGAAGAATTTTTTCTCATTACAGGTTTGTTCCACGAGCTACTCATAGTAACTTTGAGTAAACACTGTGTATACACAAGCGCGTTCCACCAGCAAATTTTCAAGTATTTTTGTGTAAATTTTACTTCTGTTTTACTCATGTGTTACTATGAGTAGCTCGTGGAACAGATCTTATATATAATTGTATTTCTCACTAGAACCAATGTTAATGATCTTTTAATATCATTATCACAGAAAAGTATACTGTTCGCAAACTATTTGCCAATTATAAGGTCTTTTATTATAGAAAAATTTTGGGTTTTAATTTTATTATCTCTATAGTTAGTTATAGGCCGAAGAAATGAATTATGTTTCTTTATTTTGAAAATATAATAAATTTTAAACTATCATTTCATCATTCTATATATTACCCTCAGTATACATACTTATATATTATAAGTAATAGGATAAGCACGTACACCATATTTAGTTACGGAGAAGTTCTGGATTTATTAATTCTGCTTCCTATCTTTAATTCTGCTCCCTACCTTTAAAAATATGAACTATTTTTTCAGCTCTTTATGTTCTATTTTCTATTCTATTGCATTGCTTTTATTTGGGTTCATATAAAACCCATTCATAAGTTGCTTTTGCAAGCATATACCATATAACATTTATAAGTATTAAAACAGTTATATCGTTTTAAGATATTTCAAAGTTACAATTTTTTTCTAAATCTTATATATATGTTGTTATTTCTTCAGACTTTTCTTTTAAATATGCTCTTCGATATATTCTACAAATTTATTTGTTAGTTTAAAACTACAATTATTTATATAACACTATGGAGCTTCAGATTTCCAGTTATTTGATTTACATATCATTGATCTTGACGTATTGAAATATGTACCTGTTTAATTTTAATTTCTTATTTTCCAAAGTTAACCGAAGTCAATCAATTCCCTGAGAACCCACAGAATTTCATATCGGCATTAGCGTAAGAAAGAAAGAAAAAGAAATATATTCTTCATTGACAATATAATTCATAAATAAAACTAATGATCTAGTATGATGATCTGGTATGATCTTTATTTCATTTCCTTTCTGGACGTCTCACTCAGTACCAGAACACAGTTACTGGTAAGGTACAAAAATGACGGAAAAAAGAGATAAAATATCACAAAAAAATTAAATTAAGAAAACGTATTAATCGAATTTTTTAGTCACATGGTTACATCCTGCTTATATTTTTGGTGTATTTGATTTTCTTTTATACATGCGATCATGAAAGGGTCTCACTTGTGAATAGGCATAAATAAATATATTTAGATTTTAGAATTATTATTAGTCTAGTAAATAAATATTGAAACTGTAAATGCTTACTTAACAAACTTAAAAAAAATTCACTTCCACTTTCTGGAACAGGTTATTAGCATTAAGTTATCGATATCTATCTAGCTATGGGAGTATCCGGGTAATGGAGAAATTATTGTAGACGATGTGTAGAAAGATTATATTTTTCGTCAAGATTACATAAATGGACTTATCTTAACTAAAGAAAGTGTGACAGTTCCTATTATTAATTTAAATACAAAACTTTAAAATTTTTTGTGTACTTAAATAGGATAAACTGTGATAAAAGTCATCCAATTTGCAATTATTTTTTTTATTTTGAACTAAAATTATTCCAGTTGTCAACAATTACTTTAATGCAATTAATCATTATTTTTTACCCACAACAACAACTCTAGGATTCCTAATATTGCGACGATTAACACGATTACGTCTGTTAAGTATTATAACACTGGGTCTAACAGTGTTGCGTCTTCTACGTCGAAATCTACGTGTTCCTGAAAATCTCATATTTGTAAGTCGTACTCTTCTTCTTCTAACTCCAGATGTTGTAGTGGTGGTGGTGGTTGTTGTTGTCGTTGTAGGGGCTATTGTTGTGGTTGTTGTGACTGCTGTTGTGGTTGTTGTATCTGCTGTAGTGGTTGTGGTAGGTGCGCCCGTAGTTGTAGTTCCTGCAGCCGTACTCGTTGTTGGAGAACCAACTGTTGTTGTTTGTGCTTTAACATATATCAGTCCAATGATTGTGAGATACGCAAAAATTGCCAAAAGCTTCATTCTATGTTAGCAAATATTTTATATCACTTCAAAATTTTATAGAAATCTGTTTAAAAATTTTTAAATCGAAGTGCTTTTATACGGAACGGTCGATGTTTAATTTGAGCAAATATTTATATCTTTTTTATTTGGGTTTTTTTTTTGGGTGTTTAAAAAGGTTTTGTAAAAACATAAATAAATAAATAATTATTGAACACATGCCATATAACAATATTAAATAAAATTAATTTTGCGATAGGAGTAATGCATACAAAATTTGCTCTGGGTAACATAACCCCCAGACGATTAAATAAACATCTATCACCGATTTGTTATTGCTCCCAATGTGAGTTTTAAATGAATAAATTAGTGATAGACGATCCTTCGATCGCCTGCATACTCTGGTCCTTACTGCGGAATCAGTTTATATATATTCAATTTAATCTTAGCGTGTGCGATAAACCGAATAAAGGTACTTGGACTCACCCTTTTTTTGATTAAAAATTATTTTTCAAATTATCTTGTACCTGCGCCCGATGTAATATTAGTAATGAAGCTTTTTTATTAAGAATAAAATGAATATAACCATTGAAACCATTAAAACCATCTTTAAGAAATAAATAGAAAAAATAGATACTATAAACTATCTATTATTATGGCGGTGTGCGAGTAAGTTGATGGTAAATTGAGGGAAATAGTAAATTAGAATTTTGAGAAGGGTAAATTAGATAAAAATTTGGTAAACTAATTATTACCATTGTGAAACTTTTATAAGATGTTTAATAAATAAATAAATAATTTTGAAAACTTTAAACCAAAAATATTAAATACATTAAATTTCAATTTACTTTACCTCAATTTTAGAGAATTCCACACTCCATAGAAAGAACACAGAAAAGGTCATATATAAATATTTAACATTCTAAATTTATCTAGTTCAGGAAGCCAGTAATAAGGTGTAGTGGGTAACACTATACATTATGAGATTGGCGTTAGTGAGTTTAATCCTTAGTTGTCTTACTGGGTTAAATACCCTGAAGGGTGAACAGCATGGTGTACTTCAGAAATATATCAGGATAATATATGAATATTTAACATACTAAATCTATTAGTCAGGAAGCCAGTAATAATGTATAATTATTTCACATTATAAAATTCACGTTAGTGAGTTCAGTTAGTATTTGTCTCACGGTGTTAACTACTTTAAGGGCTGAACAATATGGTGTTCTCAAGAAATATATCAAGATAATGCACCAATAAATTCCTCATTGAAAAAAATAAATATATGTTGGAAAGATGAGGAATTGTTTGGAACAAATAAGATTGTGGTTTAGTCTAAAATCGAACCAAGAATAAAATATTTATAATAAAATATAAATAAAATACATATTATTATTAATCATTACTTAACAATTATTACTTTTATTACTATTATTATTAATTATTACTTTGTTTACAAATTACTGTTAATTATTATTAAAATCAATCATTTATTTTAAACACAAGAAATTGTTAGTATTCCAATTTGTTAAAAAATAAATACAGTAATATACACATTTTTAATACAACTTCATTGGGACATAAAACCCTGAGGTGAATTATATTAAATTTAATGAAATTAATCTAATTTATTTTTTATTTTTTAATTAAATTATGATGTATCATTGAGATATTCATACTCGTTGTCGCTCTCAAAGTAAATATTTACATCATTGTTATCATCACTGTCTGCAGATCCGATTTCGTTTTCTGATGATTCAGATTGCGTGTCTAAACAAAAAGAGCAAATTTCAATTACGACAATTTAAAATATATGAAAAATCTTAATGAATTAAAGACAGGAGCTGACAGTGCTGTAGTAAAAAATGGATGCAACAATCTGCTATATAATATATGCACAATACTAGTGCATTGGAACTTTAATAGAAACAAACGGAAGCGTGGAAAGCAACTTGTAGAATTAATAAAGATTAAACAAACTTGTAAATATAAATTAATATAATTTTTTTGTATATATTTAATTAGAACTTACTAAATAATCTGGCTAAACATCTTCTTATTTTTTCTCCATTTCTATCGTCGTCATTTTCTGTTGTAATTTCTTCTGGTTGCTGTAGTTCCGAAGCCTGCTGTTGCGTTTTAAAATCACGTATCCAATCTTTGTTCACAACATCATTATTTTCATATAAAAAGTTGTGTAAAACGCAACACGTTCGTATAATACTGCTGGCGTTATCGATTTTGCTATCTATGCCCTTTCCTATTCTTGGAAATCTTGCCTTGAGCTGCTCAAAAGCATTATCAACTACTTTTCGACATTTAGATAATTGGTTGTTGAATGTTTTTTGGGCAATATTAGCACTATCATCGCAACTATAAGGTTTCATTACTCTTGTAGAAAATTTAAAGGCAGCATCTCCAAGGACCAAAACTGGGACTTTCACACCATTAATCACCTTACTGTTTTCTTCTAGCACACTGCAGTTATCCAATTGCTGTTTTAATGACGAGTTTTCGAAAATGTCAGAGTCCTTTACTCTTCCGGGATTACCAACATTGATGTAAAGAAAACGGCATCTACAAATAAATATTGAAATGTGTCTAATGCTTATTCAATGGTTCATTACATAAATTAAATACTGACCTAAAATCGACTAAAGCAAATAAAACCATCGAGTACCAGTCTTTAGAATTATAATAGTCATCCGCGTTGTCAAATTCTGGTTTTACTTTAATGTGACAAGTATCTTAAATTTTGTAGACATTGTATTACGATAAATTTATTTTAACAATAGTAAATCAGGTACTTACCTATTGCACCTAAACATTGCGGAAAGCCTAAGCGCTCGAATCCGCTGATTTGCTCTTGTACTTCTTCACTGTTTAATGGCAGGGCGCTTATATATAAAGGTAGAAGAGTTTTCCATACCTCTTGACAAAATTCATTGAAACACTTGCAAACTGTTGACTTTCCAACGCCAAACAGATTAGCAATTTTTTTAAATTCAATCGATGAGCCAAGGGCATACAAAGCGATTGCAACCCGTTTTTCCAAACAAATTGCTCTACGAAAGTTTGTGTCATCTTTTTTCAAAGTCTGCAGCAGTTTGCATAGTTCTTTGAAAGAACTCGTGCTCATGCGAAAATTTTCTTTGAAGAACTCAGGGCCATTTTTTTGGCAATCCTTTTCCCAAAACTTTCTTGGTCTTTTCTGAAATAACAATTTGTATTCTCAACGATATGTAATTTAACCAATGCATGCACTTACCAAAGCCCAGCATTGCCTCCGTTTATTTAGGAGTATTGATGAAATCAATGCCAATTGTTTTTTCTTTATAAGCATTAATTTTCTTTGATGCAATTGACGTCGTTTTCTATATTCATAAATTGTGTTATGCATATCCACCACACATTTACTAGCGGCTTCACACATATCTAATGTGAATTTTATTAAATTCTCCTTATTTTCCATATTGTAACGCACAAAAAATATTTAATTAAATTTTTTAATTTAAATAAATACTTTAATCGACAATTAATTAAAGCTAATGTAAAACAATAACAAACTCGGTACCGTTTGTTTATATTTACTTCGTGTGACAGTTGTTAATTTTACAAAATTTCCCTTTCAAAAATTTCCCTTCACGCATGGTTGCATTCGATCTTTAGTTCATTTTAAAACCTTTAACCAATTTTTAAGCATATTCACACCGTCTCATTTATGCACTCGGTCATTTATAATAATCAGTTTTAAAGTCGAACGTTCTCATTATAATGATTTAATTTTTACAGCTGATCGATTTTTTATATGTCAACAAAGCTATTAATGAAGGTTCGTTGTCGTGCAATGCACCTACGCAATACAATGAACTGTCAGTATCTATTTGATAAATTAATAAACTTCACTCACTAATATATCACTCCAAAAATAAATACATGTAATGGATATATTAAATCATTTGTATATATATATATTTATTTATATCTAATACATATATTTTAAATAATGAAAACAAAGATTTTATTAAATACTTACATAGTTTCTCAGGACGTTTGCTTACAGTTCAATTTATTTCTGAGGAGTGCACTCGTTATTTTTCGACTTAAATGAGTGGATTTATTTATAATAAGATCACTCTTTGTATATTGAATTCATCTCATTAGCGGGCTCATCAATAAAACTGCGTAAATGAGTCAAGGTGAATGTACTATTAGGTAAATTGTTTGATTTTCTTTAAAATTCCCTTTTCACTATTAATAACCAGTAAATTTTGTGTTTTTAAATTAATATTTGCACACTCGGTTTTTACAATGAATTGTTTTAAGGCAATATTCTTCTAATTTAAATAAATTAGTAGATAATCGTGCTAATGAAATAGTGTGAACATATAAATTTCTACCAATATTCTCAGTATTTTTTGCTTGGCTCATATTACAGTCGAACAGTGACGAAGAATGTGTCTAGAGATCTCATTTTCTTATAAGTAGAGTCGAATTTTTGTGTTCTTAGACTATTTTATTAAGGTTGTTTCGTAGGCAAAAGTGAAGTGCCAAATAATCTAGCAGTAAACTCAATTGTTTCTTACTGAAAGTACCGCTTTATAGTACTTACAAGGATAAACTAACTCTTTAGCTTGGCTGCTATCTAAAGTGTTTTGCCAATAGTTTTTATTTGAGATTTAATCCACTTTTCTATCAGAGGCTTAGCTGTCGAATAACTTGACCCGCAATAACACTGTGAGCCTTATAATTGAATGACTGAATCCAGTTCTTACGAGATAGTTAAAACCTATAAGTGATAAGGAAATGGTCAATTCACTACTGGCGACATTATTTATGGTTTCATTGTTATTTATTTCTGTGTTACCAGCAAAACGCTATTCCATTTATATTTCTGAGTGGCTACAGCAAGTTACATCAGCATGAACTCTCTAGAGCACAATGAGATCATTCTAATTACTGCTGGACTATATGTGTAAATACAGACATAGGCGCCATTTAACCCTTCTGCTGGACTCAGGCTAAACCTCATTCTCGAAAATTCAACAAAACATTACAAAAAAAATATAAACAAAAGTTATAATATTTAATCGAACTTAATAATTTCATATATTGTATACATAAAATTCAAACATTAAATTAAAAAAGTACTAGTACATATATAATTAGAAAAATCTCCTCAAAATCAAATACTTATTTAATACAATCAATGTAGATTATAGATTTTACATAATTTTTTAATACATATTTTTATTAACTTTAACCTTTTCAATTTTGTTAACTACTTTTACAAAGTATTTCTTATTAACAATTTCTCTTGATATTAATGGATATATAGTATATATGTGTTTTAAGAACATTTTTAAAAAATTTTACTATTATTAATTTGATTTATTAATATTGTTTATAAAGGTGTGTCATCATATCAATTAGTTTAATTATATAATTTTCTATTTTTTATATAGACTATATGTAAAGCACACCAACTTATAATTAAGTATGTATCGAAATTACTCGTAAAGTTGTATAAATATATTTTTAAGTATTTTTATTTTACTTTATACTTGATGGTTTTTATTTATGAAGACTGAATCATGACTACATACAAATATGCAAAATAATTGTTTAAAAAAAACCTTTATATAAATTTTTTATTTAACACAAACTATGTAAAAATCATACAAAAAACAAATGCAATTAAGAAAAAATTATTAGAAATACTACTAATATATATATATATATATATATGTGTGTGTATAAATACAATAAATTAATAAAATTATTGTAAATTTGTTTGCGTCCCTATAGCTTTTAGAGCTTAAACCTAAATATGAAACACTGCTCTCTTCTCGTATTAAAAATATGCTAATATAAAACATTATATATTAATAAACAACCGAAATGAAAAAAATTATTAATTAAATTATTATATATGTAACAAAATTATAATAAAACATATCAGTTTTTAATGACAAATTTTCCTTTTGAAGTTTGGCTGCTGATGCATTAATTTGGTGACTACGAACGAATCCTGCTGCTTCGTAAGCTTTTTATGCGCAAAAATATTACATGAAAAATTCTTCAGTAGAGTGTGATAGTGGGAGTCACGTCCTTCCTGGTCTATCCAATATCGATATTTCTATGACACGCAAGCCACGATAGGTGGGATCGATAATTTGTAGACCTTTAGGATTGTAAATGCGTTCATTTTGGGAAGCGATGAATTTGGAAATTTTACGAAGTGTCTGTAAAGATTGTATATGAAGAATTATATTAATATTTTAAATATTCGTTAATATCAATTTGTGCTTTTTTTGCTTGTTGTAATGCCATTTGCTATTTGACTTTGTATAACTACCTGTTCTGATATACTTTATATGAGTGAGAGAACTCCAACGAGTCATAATTTTAACATGATTTTTGGATCGACTGTCAGCTGTATGTATGGATCAGATGAAGTAGAATATACGACAAAGAGAGTAAACTTAAAACACATTCAATGATTTGAATGTTGAGCACTCATTGCAGTTCCCTGATATTAGTATGCATATAAAAAATTGCTATCAATATGTGTGCACCAGCAAAGTTGTGATACGCACTAGTTAAAGCAATGCTTATCGACAAACAGTAACACAAACAGTCATACGACGACTTGCCATGACAATTTTTCGTTTTTTTAGTTTTGGTCAAAAGGCTTGTAATATAAACATCAGTCATTAAATAATCACGATGCCTATGAGGAAGAAACAAATTAGTCAGTGAGATGGGTGAGACTCTGCAGAAACCACCTTAGTCGTTTTTATTTTTTTTTGGTATCGAATCTGGAGGAAAAATCTTCTCTAAAGATACAAATGGCCCGTACCGTCATGCACAACTCAATTGAGTCATACATGCCTACGGACTAAAAAGTCCCCACATTCTCAGCTCAAAATCCTGGAAATTCCTGCACTACGACCAGTTAAGGTATTCCTTCACAGGGCAGGTTAGTAGAGCACTTAGCGTGCTTTCACTAAGAATTTCGTCCGCTCTAACAATATTTATTGGAAATTTTACTTTATCTCTCATACTCATTCTCCATATATTAATTTTTTGATTTGCAAATAACAAGACCATGACTGTCTGTATAACATGACCCTAAGAAAATACATAAATAGCGTATTATATGACTAATTTTACGTTTAGATTTTAGTTGTATATTCAACAGTTTCTCATGCTATGTCATCAACAAATTTATTTATTTTTTTTTAAGTTTTATATCTTCTCAATCCTCTATGGAAAATTCATAGAAGATTGACAATTGGAATATAAAAGCAAAAATCTAACAGAGACAAGTCGTAACAAATCTCAGATTGTTGTTGTTTTATTGGTAACCTGCAGAAAATGACAGATGAATGGATTCCAAGATGTATAGATGGGTTAGTGTGATGTTTGGGTAGAGAATTCAGAGAGGTGGTTTTATTGACTATAACGACTTGAAATACTACCGGTTTTCGGAAAACTTCGATGATAGGATTTATGTTTTTCTTGCGCAGATATTGACAAATTACTCTTTAATGTAGATCTTTAACTACTATCGATTCTTAAATAAATCTGTTTATAGAATTTATGTGTTTTTTGGGTGTTGATGTTGTTAAATGAGTCTATAATGTATACGTAGAAGCACTATCGCTTACTGCAGAAATCTGACGATAGTATTAATGTATTCTTTGCGTCGATGTTGTCAAATGACTCTTCAATGTGACACAGATGTTCTTGTAATAGTTAAGTCTCAGTTTTTCTTTTAAAAAAGTGTGATTGTTACGATGCAAATTATAATGATGAAGCTTATTTATTAATATATGTTTTCTATCTATCTGTATTAAAATTTTGATAACGAATGGAAGCAATGCATTCTTCTATATTTTAAGTTTAATATAGAAGTTATCAACATATATGTATATACTAAAAGTATATTTTAGCATTCCTAGGCTGATCTTTGTGTAAACATTTCTTTTTTGAAATGCTTGCAACATATTATTATTGAATTTAAAATTAAATTTTAATAATATGATTAGATATAGAAGTTCATATCACAATTTATCTCTATTTTCATTCATTGAGCCACACACGTTATTGTCTGTTTTGCAAACTGTCTATTGATATGGCTAACTTTTGAATGTTTATTGATAATCAATTAAAGTTACTTATTTTAATCTTTTTAGTGCATTTCTAATTTTGTTTTTATAAACCCACAACTGATATATGTTTATACCGGTACTCAATGACTTTTTGAGATGCGGATAGTAAGAGTAATATTGAATTAATGGCATAATCTTATTTCATATGCGGATTTCTTAATGCTATTAAAATAGTGTGTTTCTTTAAAGACACTTTGAAAAGACAGATGATGAATTTTAAGTGTCTCAATGGCTTCAACAACACGACAGTACAATATACAGATTTGCAGAGAATAATGATTCTTTTCTTAAGAGCAGTGTAGTTTTTGGAGTTAGTTGTGCTACTCCCTTTTTCGACTTCAATGGGTTCTATTCGTTAAAAAAATCTTATTTGATAGTAAGTTCGTTAATGGTTATTTGAACTATTTCAAATATCAAAATATTTAAATGATGATGTATTCAAGTTAATACTGTTTCATGTGTAAGATGATCTTTATACCTTCTCAATATTTGTTGAATAATTATCATATATTACGATAAGAAAAAGTTTTTATCTTTTAATGGACAAATATGTCAGTACCCTACCCAATTATATCACAACCTTGTTACAATTCTATATACATATGGTATATATAATATATTATGTTGATATAAGCAAATCTTAAAGTTTCTAATAATTAATGTAAGACACTATAATCCTTATAAATATATGAGTATGTCATTACTCTACCCAATTATATCACAATTTTGTTACGATTCTATCAATAATCTAACTTATATAATAAATATATTAAGTTGTGACAATCAAATCTTTAAGTTTGTATTAAAGTAAGAGACTATAATCTTTATATATATATAATTACATGAACTCGTATGTATATACACCAAATGAGTTTCCTGCACTTACTTTTTCATAATGCGTCTCAGCACACATATAGATTAAATAAGCCGTAATACACCCAATGCATCCCTCACAATATGTACTGCATGAGCCTTGCTCCGCTTCGGCAAAAAATTCATTAAGTCTGTTGATGGTTGATTCAAATACTTGACGTTCAATCTATAAAAATAAAATGTGAGTAATTTGTATAGTAGCATCCTTGAACTAAACAGCAGGATACTGCATTGAATAAATAATATATCACAAAATATTTACCAAGCCTTCCAGCTCGCTGGGCAGTCGTGTGTGGAATTTGACAGATGTGCCTTCGCTGTAGTCGCGCTGTATGAAAACCTTGTTGGCTGTAGCCAAGGTGGAACCTTGGGCCATTTTCAAAATCAGTCTATAAACACAATTAAATATATTAATTGATAAGTAAAATTTTCATATATAACTATTTAATTCATAACTTTTTAAAGTTTCTTCACATTCCTTTATCTTGACACATTTATTTTTTTTCTTCTGCTACAAATTGGAATTTGTCACAACACTAATGGAATTTGACTTGCAATTTATATAAATATAAACTCGATACTCACTTGGATTTTTTGCTGTAACACACAAGCTTTCAAAAGTTACTTCTTGTTTATTTATTTGTTATTAATTAATTTATTTAATTCCAATTGCTGTCAAGCAGAAATATTTTTCCAAGCACAAACTTTTTTTTGACTGATTTGGTTTAGTGATGGTGATTCAACATGTTGTCGTATGACTAATCGTTTCTTAAGTAACCGTATAAGTACCGTATGGTACTTATCAAACCGCTTATCAATATGTTTTCTAAAAATTAATTTACATATATAAGATAATGTTAAAAAGAAATGAACACATTATAAAATATTATTTTTTTATCATTTGTAGAAAGTTTTTATTGTAGTAACATCAGTTTACTTAAATAATTCATAATGCAAGTGCCAAACACAATATTTTTTATTTGTACTGTACATAAGTATAGTATAACGAAAAGGAACAGTCTCACTCAAACTGTATAAAGATAAGTGAAGTTCAGTGAGCGTCAAACGCAAAAAATTTAAAATTAATTTTTTTGTTTTGGCGCTTATGCAGTTCTAATCATTTATGTGTGAAGTAGTTTAATATTTAAATAATATTTAAATAATTTTTGAAAGAAAACTTGATATTTCAACAATAGCTGTATTGTTGAATATTTAGAAACTGCTATTGAAGTTTTGTTTTTTCCACATGAGAGAAAAATTAATTGAGTGTAGCTCGATGTTAAAGTAGTGTAATTCATTAATTACCTCGGATCTATGGTAGTATCTGATAATAACATAAAAATACGAGAACGGTTGCTAAAATCCAATAAAATTTATCACTGCACTTAAAGTTCAGAAAACTTACTATAACATGCAAGCTATTAACATTTAAGGTAATATTTCTACTAGTGATCATATATGTATCTGAGACCTGTGTTCAACAAAAACTATTTTGATCTCAGACACGTTCGTGATAAAGTAATACGACAGTTGTTGGTCTTATATATGAGGAACAAGGATGTTGAAGACACCACAACCATGAAATGTATGAGATCGATCTCAAAGCAGACGTAGTTGCGGTGATCGTTTAAGTTTTATGGGCGGTTCATGTAGCTCCTATAAGTGAAGAGTAAAAAAATTTTTGTAACAAATTTTATGCTCTATTATGCCTCTACCTGTGGTAACCAGATAGATCATTAAAACGGTACCCTAGAGCTGTTCAGACGGAAGTTAGAAGTTCTCAATTAAATAATATCGGTTCTTAATTGGAATTCATGGAGAGATTTGTTGAAGAAGTTTAAGACTGGACAATGGTTGTAATGGTGTTGTTGATGATATTAGATATTAGACAAGTCCAATTTAAAAAGGCACATTTTTAAGAGACTGTTTATGAGCTGCAGTTAAGTTCACGTTATACGGGCCTACACAGACTGTAGTTGATGGCTGTAACGTGGGGGTTAATATATTATCACTGTAAACTGCTGAGTAGCAATTAGTGAGACTAATATCATTTATTATTATATCATTTAATATGGTATAAATAAATAAACGATAATAATTCTAGTATAGTCAAAGCTTAGTGTGGGGCAAGGATAAGCCCCCAGTAACAAAAGAGTAAAAGTGCCTAATAGCACTAATTTAAACCACAACAACAACAACAACTATAAATCATATATTTTTCTTTATAAATTAATTTTTTGAAATTGATTCCTCATTTCAAGATTTTTATAATATTAGCTTTTCCTTTTTGGTTTTTCTTTTGTTCCCTAATTTAATTGTCATAGTATAAACACTTAATTTTAATTGCATAAGATTTGTTAATTAATGTTCGATTATTACAAAGTGTAAACTTAATATTTGATTTTTAAAAATTTTTTGTTTGTGTTAGTTTTGAATTTAATTTTTAATATAATTCTTTGCTATTTTTACTTTTTATTTTTGTCAATACTTAAAGATATTATTATTACATTGGAATGTTAAAAGCTGGCATTTTCTTACTGAAGTAAATTAGAGTATAATTGTGCATATTTAACGTAATTACTTCGAATATTTTATATGGTTTTGCCACGAATGACTTCAAATAACTAAGTTAATTACGAAAATGCGTTAATTGAGATAGTGCAAACAAGTTGAAATACACTAATAATTATCGAATCTTGTTTATGAATGTATTTTGCATGGATTTGAAAAAAAAAACCACAGTTATTGTTGTAAATTTGTTAAGTGCGTTAGTATAAACGCAAGAATTTATACTTGCTGCAGTTAAAAATACATAGAAGTAGTTGATTATAAGAAAGTTAAACGATCAAAGAAAAGTGGAATCTTCGTAGACGTGAGCATCTATAAATTTTTTCATTTCATTGTCATTAATTATAGAGTAATTTTTTCTAAAAATTATAAAGATTAGATGCAGTTATTAAAATGAGAGGAAGTTTTAATTTTACGCTTTAATTTTTAATATAGAAAATATATATGAGAAATCTCTAAAATGTGAAATTTTCCATTTTGTGAATTAAAATGCCAACCGAAAGGATTAAATTACATGCATTGAGCATATGAGCCTAGGCAATCTTGAACAATAAACGCAAAATGAACTATAATTTCATCAAATTATCAGCAATCATGGAAGAAAGTATATTGGAGCAGATGAAAGCGAAAAATCAAAACAAAATTGAATAATTTCAATCAAAAATAAATCACATATATAGAAGTAAAGGAGACGGCGAAAAAAAAGAGGTGGCAAGCAAGTAGAGAAGAAAAAAATATCATTTTAATAAATTTGCAACAAAAATGATGAACATTTGACAACGAGATTAGCGCATGACGAACACGCAATGCCACATTCGATCCCAATGGAGCCAAGGCCAGTAGTGGACGCATGCGATATGTTAAACATGCAACATGCGCAACGTGCGACATGTGTTCCATGCGGTTGCAGCTGGCAACAATTGCTGCATAAATCTAAGCTCTGATTTATTAGACGAAAGTCTCTAATATAGGCAATTTTTTTCATAATTGAGATAAATTGATGAATTGGGAAATGTTCAAGATCACATCTCATAAAAGCCACAAAGGCCATTGTTGCCACAAAGGCCATTGTTGCCACTGCAATCAATATTACAATCAATGCTGTAGAGGATTTAAACAAATTAGACTACAATAGTAAGCAAAGCCTGCTTAAAGCTGTGGTTCACTTAATTAATGTTGCATTGAATTTGGTGCAATGTTTTGCATTTTCCGTTCAGTTTAAGTAGCGCTGCCAAGGATGTGGTAACGTTGTAATTATATATGAGGTACATTGAGGTACATGCACACCAGTAATAGTGCCTAAGTAGATTGAGACTATAAACTTTATCGCATTCCAGTGCTATACTCGACCACAGTTGACGGCTTTTCAACTTACTTTCACAAAAAACGTTGACATCGCGTCAATATTTGTTAAATAAATAACATATCCCCAATCCGGTGATTATCAACACTTAGATAGCTAATTGTATTCAAATATATCTTATAGATCTTTAATGGAATTCAAATTGAAACATTTGCTTTGATTTATTATCTTTAATAAAAGGAAACATTTAAGCTAAATTCAACATAAAAATACAATGAAAGTTGTTTAATCTTATCGACTTGCGATACCAGGACCGTATACAGAGATTTATTTGAGGGGGATTTTTGAAAACTAATTCAAGGTTCATATGAAAACATTTATTTAATAGCAAGAAATTATGACATATCTAATGAAAATGATGAAAAATATTTTCAGAGCGCAGTAAGGATAAGGGGAGGAGAAGTGTGAACAACCAAAAACGTCTTCTTATACGCTACTTATAATTTTAATATATATATCGGTGTATGCATTTAATGAGTTATATTTAGTTTTACTTTTTTTTTTTTATTTCTATTTGCGCCAGTGCACCTGAGCATTTTTACTCTTTCTTAACTCGAGATATTTTTAAAACCACTCTTTACGCCTTGACTGGATTATTGTTCATGAGAGTAAGCAATAATTGACCTCAGATCTGCATACCTCCCCGAGGAGCCTGTAACCATTCTGAGATTTGATAACGCGGTGTTGGTAAGTCTGTCAGTTTTCGCAAATAGTGGTGTTGGTAAGTCTGTCAGTTTTCGCAAATAGTTTCAGGGCTCTAACCTTTATGTATTTCTTGATGGGATAAATCATGAGGTCCCTGAGGATGTCATTCGTCCTAATGTACCATGGTACTTTTACTTTTATTACTTAGTGTATTAAAATAATCTAGTTACTACCTTCCTAGTATTCCAGTTCAGGGTTGCCATCTTCAAGTTTGAATTCATTCACAAAAAATAGGTTCCCTATTTAATCTTCTCGATTGGAAATAAAAATTTTAAATTTAAATTTTTGTAATATATGATCGAGATTCTTAAGATATGAGTAATCAAATACCACATTTTGTAAGCTTAAGTATTCCAGTACAATTCCTCTCATATAAGTAGTGAATAAATTCTTATGATAACACTCTGTGTATCTGGAGACTTATTTTTTTGGTCTCCGTGATGCAGCCGCATACCATTGTACGCACTTGATTCAAAGAAAATTTAAATATTAATATTGTAAAATTTTATTTCACTTAAAAATATTATTATTGGAAATATTGAAAGTCTCTAGAGGACAATCAGTTCAATGAAATTCAGTTGAAGGTACTAGAACTATATTACAGATCAGTATTAGTATAATAAGTATGAGTAGATAAGACATCTATTTGCTTGACTCTGCATTTCTTAGAGTCTGCAGACATCAGTGTACTTTAATACTGTTTTAAAAAAATTATAGTTAATAGGGTTGTGATACTGATGATCAGAATAAAATCAAACCAATACAGACTAAAAGAAACTCGTTAGCATTTCTGTTGTTAAAAAAAAACTACAGATCTTGAAAAAGGTTGCCTTAAACATTGTACATCGATCTGTGACTTCGTCAATATGTGTTCATATGTGTTCTATATTTTTAGGTACTGGTCTAGTCAAATAAGTCTATAACGTATATAAAAGTTCAGTTTCTATGATTGGAATTCGAGAAGACGCCTTCTTCAGATTCAACAGTCTGTTTTAAAAGAATATCAGTTGTATTGATTGTGCTTTTGATTGGAAAACCAAAGAAGTCTTATATTGTTCGTAAAACAGGGTTGTCCAGAACAAACTCCTTCACGGGTCAATACAAATTACTATGCATTACTATGGTTTTTTTTGGTGAAAAAAAGTACGGTTATAATATTCAATTTAGTTTTAATAATTTATTTATTTGAATTATTTGATATGGTATCATAATAAAATA